AAAAATCAACATTAAGAATCAATCGGCGCGGCCTATGCTCACTGGTGTGGTTAGCAAATTTTCTTAGAAATTTAATACCCAAATTTCTTTTCTCTTTTTGTAGAATATCATGAGTAGCCATATACAGGCAAGTAACCTATCCTCCAACAATTGGCAACACAGCACAGCCAGGTCGAGCCAACGACACCATAGCTACACGTACTTGGCTTATTTGGGTTTTCAGTTGCGGTTCAGTAAACTTTTAAAAGCATCCTATAAAACCAGTATCTAGCGGTGGGTTCAGTGATAGGGCAAGCTTGTACCAAGTATTTTGAAAATTTCGATTCTCTGCAACCCCCTTTTTACCCCCATTTACTGATAAAAACTGATGGAACCGCCTTGAAAAAGAGTGGTATCATTCCTTGATCTTACACTAATTACTTTACTTGTCTGAACTCGTTTCTGATATTCGTGAACATTGAAGGACTGCTCGTTGCTCTTACCTCGCCATTTATTCAATTAATCAAGAATTTCCAGTCCCACTTCTAAGGCATTAATATTTTCTTTAATCTAATAAGTTTGCGGAAAAAAAAAAAAGGGAGAAAAAACCCATGTTTCTGCATTTGAAACAGGATTGTGACTGTTGCATTCATCACCAAGTAGATCCAAATGGAGGACTTATTATGAATTGGAGGGAGCAATCTCAACTCCGACAGCAAGAGGGAGCAGAAGTGTGCTTTGAAGGCAAGAGCAGCTTACACTGTAGGGAAGAGCCAAGAGAAGCTACAAGCGAGCTGTGATCAAGCATCAAATCACTCTGACTTGGAATGACAGCGTTGCCGTCATTTCTTCATCTCCAAATTCCCTGACTTTTTTTGCTTTTTCCTGACTCTAAAATTTTCGGATTCCCTGACCACTGAACAAAAATTTGTCAGATATTTCCTGACTTACCCCGGTTGCTACAAATACCCTGACTCTCCAGACTGCCGGAAATCCTGGAATATACCGCTTACCGCACCCTCTTGATTCTCCGGCCAAGCACTGGCTTTCTGTTTAGCCCATCGCAAGTAATTCTCGAGAGAATGAGTTGGCCCATGCTGTACCCTAGCCGCGCAGCGCGCTTAGTCACCTCCACAAGCTCTGCTCCTTTCCTTCTTCTGTGGCTCTATGCGTATTTTTATCCCTTCCCTTCTATTGTTACCACAATTTACTTACTTAAAACCACTTATCAATAATATTTAGCTAAAATTTAGAACGTGCTTGAGGGTATAAGTTTCCTCTCTCTTCAGAAATCTTAGAGCAAGCTGTGCTTGCCTCTCTTACCTGGACCGAACGCCACTGAATAAAACTTTTAAGTAATAAGGCTGCTTGTTTATTAGAGAGTAAATATAAGAGATGCATGAATTTTGAAACACTGCAATCAACATTCATGGTTTCTACGACTAGGCAGTATTATTTTTACGCTGTGTACGAAGGCGCTTGCTGCATCAAGACGGGTCTATTCAAGAAGGGAAGGCAAAAGGTGATGTAATGAGGGATAAAGTTAACTTACTTCAAAAGGAACTAATCTTCTAATCATTCCCAAAATTTCTTCATTACCGTCAGCATTGAAAATGGGCATCGCTGTATCAGAGAATTTGGCGCAAAAACGGCAAAGATCTTCAAGCTTGGGCTGGGTTGCGCTCATGTTACTGCTTGAGATAGAGACCTGTAAGCATGAGAGGAGGGGTTTTAGTTGAATTGTTGATGGGCAAACACATAAACGAATGAAGAACAGAACAGTGAAAATTATTTCAAAACTGGCGTTCATATACCAGAGTTAAGAAGGCCTCTTTGTGGTCTGTCCAAGCGGTATAAAATCTTGTGGTATGGTTGATGTTTGGCCAAGTAATAACTAATAATCTGAAGTACTTAAACCAATCCTCTCCTCTTGAGCCTGTCCTAAGCTCCATCAGTGGTCAGGGAAATCCAACATTCTTGGTGGCGTGTTGAAACTCCTCTCAGTGTGATGATGAGAAAGAAATAAAATTAGAATAGAAGAAAAATACTAGAACGAAACCGAGTTCACTACTACTGAGTCACTCCTTACCTACATGTTGCCTATTTCAAACGCAACTAAGTAAAAGTAGGAATGCAAACACAAATTAAAAAAAAAAAAAAAAATTGTTCTAGTCTGTGCAGGGATGATGCTTATGAAATTCGAATGTAGATATTTCCTCTGTCTTTTTCGGGCTACCATATTTTAACATTTTTTTTAAAAAATCACACTTTTTCAAATTGTAAATTTCTCTAAATTATCTACCTAAATTTCTGTCACACCTTTTGTTTTTATTATTGCTACTTTAAATTATGATAATTGCTGCTTAGATTAATTATTATTTGAATTGGTTAAACTTTTATCATTTATTTCTGTTAAAAATTTTGAAATCGAGTCTGTAATTATGGTTATATTACTTAGTTTTTGTTGGTTTTCTTTGGTTGCACCACCCACCACAAGTCTTACTTAAAGGGTGGCGGGATTAAATCATTTTTGTATTTTGTAATCTTTGTTAAAGTTGGCTGTGAAATTTGTATTTGAAGTGAAATAAACGGATTTGAATTATCTTTTTTTTCCCCCACCAATTTCAAGTAGCCTACTAATCCCACGCTATTTACCCCGGCCCCAGGTGACCACTGCCTAAGACCATTGAACTGAGGTCACCTGGCCGGGAATCGAATCCGGGACCTATTAGTAATGGGGCCAACGCTACAACCACTATACCACAGGAGGCCGACTGTTCAGGCTCAGTTCTTCAGTTTACTTACAAGGCAAAACTTGCAAATACCAATCATGGGGATTTGAAGATAATTCGCCCTAGGCTTCAACAGTGATCAAAAACTTATTGCTACAAAATTAACTTGAAAATGTTTGCTGTCTTCTAAACCAATAGAATTAAAGACTGTGCGGTGAGCGCTGGGCAGGGGGTTTCCCCAGCACCCTCAGTTACCTGTAACGCAAACGATTTTATGCCGAAAGACAGCAACATAATACTGAAAACAACTCAAAGAGCATATCTTTAACAATTTCAGACAGCCTTCCAGAAAACAGTTCATGGTGCGGATAACTCTCTGAGCGCAACAGTTTAAGGGAGGAATGAGACCCCGAACTTGTTGGGGAGGGAAGGAATTGTAAAAACTGAGACTGTTGAAGAAGGGATAAATCAGAGAGAATGCAAAAACAAAGGAGTCTGGGTCTGCCTCCGCAAAACACCAGTGCGAAATATATGATCCGAGTGTCTCTCACATGAGTCACGTGTCATGCGGTGTGCAAAGTTGCAGATTGAAGAGGTGAAAATATCAATTCAATTCAATTCTTTACTTATTTCTTAATTATTTACATACTACAAAATATCGTTTATCAAACAACTAAGCTCATCCATGAGCGTTACTCGTGTGGTTGAGTCAGTACTTCATACTCGAAATAATTATGTACTTAGGATTCAGAGAAAAGGAGGTAAGGGATGAAGCCATTCAGGGTGGGAGATTCTGAATTTCTAGAATACTTAATATGATGAGTCTGATAAAGTAACTAAACTTACAAGTTGAAGTGACTAGAATCCCTGCGAGATTTGGAGGGAAAAGCCATGCCAGGAACTACCAGGAACGTAAGTGCAATGTGCACGCGTGCACATGGAGTATGGAGACTCTGCAAAGTGCGAAGATAAATTCAAAGGGGATGACGGTAGGCCATTAACTATTCTTTCCAGGAATTCCGGTGAGAAATCGCCTATTGACAGAAAGTGAGGGGTCAAGATTTCCAAAATCGTGACTCAGCTAGCAACAAGCAACTACCGACTACGCGGACTACGCCGCTTCCGCTTCGCCGCGTGGGGAGGGAAAAAGGGAAAAAGGGAAAAAGGGTAATGAAATAGGGAAAAAGGGTATAGAGTAGGGAAGAAGTAGGGAAACAAGAGAGCGAGGAATGAGAAATATGAAATTTCCGTTAATCATTAATCATTCTCATTAGCATTTTAATGATCACAAGGTTAGAGAATGTTGAACTATGAGGAATAAAATTTAATAGATAAAACTGCGATGAAAAATATTTTTCTTGAATTCTTGTGACGTCATAAGTCATAACCTCAACGTATAATTGCTGGAAATTTGACAGCAGTGTACATGTTTTTGTAGCGATAGGCCACTTCGCATTTCGTATCTCGTGATTTTCACCGATTTTACCGACGAAACTTTTAGTTTTTGGACTTAAAATGTCAATGTTATGTGTGTAGTGTCGCCCATTCAAAGTGAATAATGACACAGTTCCTACCTCCCAATCTCCTGGCGCTCTTTGCGCCTCGAGATCCTATCCCATTTTTGCCACCCCCTTGCAAGCTTCCTCATGAGAAGAAGACTAGAGGCTACACGGGCATCGCCGAATTTGTTAAATTTTTCGAGGTAAGTTAGCTGTGAGCTATCAAAGTTCTCTATTTTTCTTATTCAGTCCTCAACACACAATCTTCCCACTGCGTTTTGAAGACAGCGCCTAGATTCGAAGGATTTCATACCTTACCAGACATTCGGTGTAATACTCTCTCACAAGGCGCAATTGTGGTCTGTCTAAGAAAGTTTTCTGAAGTGTTACACCACAGACTATGCTCTTAAGCTCATTCTATATCCTCACTTCCTACCCACGGAGAAATCGAGAAGCTCTGATTCAGGAGAGCTTATTGATCTACGCATCTAAGGAATACAATGTAAACAAGCTTTATTCTGTTAGGGGAAGATTCACAATTCTACATTTCTACACAAGTTTAGTGCTTTAAAATTTTGAGGAATGATTTTAGCCGAGGTGCTGGAACCTGTCACAACAGCAGTCCTGTAACCAGTTGTATGAGAACATTACCGTCTCCTACTGTGCGGGTAGATGGTATTGGTGAGAACAGGAGTAGACTGATAATTTGGAAGGCCAAGACTCATCAGCATGAAAATTCAATAGCTGCGTTGTTGAAGTAAACTGTTTAGGACCGTTGGGCAAAGGAATTACCCGATTCCAAACGCTCGGCGTTGCACGACTCTGTTCGGATTTCCCCATGTCCTGGACTGTTTACCAAACGGAAGTCAACAAGTCATCAGTCTCAGTAGGTAGTTGAGAGCGTTGAGTTAACCATGGCTGACCTCTAAATGTAATTGTGCACTCAAAACACAACAGTTTTTAGTCAACAGAGACAACCGACAACGCGTTTCCCCATGAGTAAGTCAATGGTTATGATATCTCCTAGTGTTGAGCACCTAACGCAAACTGAAAGTTTACTTCGACAACGCATCTATCGTTAGAGTTCTTATCGCAGTGAAAGTAGACTTTTACTTCTACAGTCATGCTATTTTTTAACTATATTGCATTTTGATACTCAATTAATTTAAAATCGGCTGTAAAATTTGTACCCACTTAGTGTGAAATAAACGTATTTGAATTCGCTAAGCGACCTAAGAGGTTAACACTGAATTACAATAATATCTTTCGTTATAATAAAACAAATTATGCGTAAATTAAAACTGATGATCACTTAGGTTTCAAGTTGGTTGTGCACCATAAAGACCCAACGTCTCTCTACCTGCTCATAATCTGCAGAATTCCAAGACTGAAAAATCCATGTTGTTACATTATTATCACCGCTCATTTTTGTTCGATTTAGAGACCCTAAGTTATCACTTATGTTGTTGTTTTTAAGTTTCTCATCCTCCATCTGCTGTTCTTTGTTTAACTTCACCCTTTTACTTTCAGGATCCGTCTGAAACACCTCCTCCTGTTAAAGTTGAAACTCGAGAGGAAAGGTTAGAAAGGCGCAGGAGGGAAAGGGCAGAACAAGTAGCCTACAAATTAGAACAAGAAATAGCCATTTGTAAGCATTTTTCCTCTTCATTTGTTCGTATTATTTCTCTCATTTTGTTTTTGTATACCACGAACGACCTGAATATAATTATCTCGATACTGTAAAATCCCAATCGTTTTAATATGTAAGTGGTAGAACCTCAGGAAATGCCTTCAGATTAATACCAGGTCCTTGGTTTCTTGAATTTGTTCAAATCTACCATGAGTATGTGGAATTGTCTGAGAAAAACTTCCAACAATGTTTCATCCTTCTCCGTAAAGTAAATCAATGTGAAGAAAGGTAGATTTTTTAGTCATTAGTCCAGGGTAGATGGACCCAAGGAAGAATGAAATTTTGTCATGTTGAAATTAAAGCCATCATATTCAGCTTACTGTCTCATCAATGCCCTAATTCAATGATTCTCTCTTGCAGGGGATCCTTACACCAATGGGCAAGCCACAACTGATCCTTTCAAAACTTTATTTGTAGCAAGAATTGTAAGTATTGTTATCAATGCAAACACTTTAATCCTTTTTATTATTATTATTATTTTTTTTTTTTTTTTTTTTTTTTTTTTTTTTTTTTCCTCACAGGATTTTTCCTGGTATTAAGAGCCCAAGACGAGTCAAAGACTAGAGTCTTGGGTCCTGTTTATGCCCTAACAATTAATTTATTATAATTTTTTTTTTTTTTTTTTTCCAAAAAAGAAATTAGAGAGATGAAAGATTTTTTTTTTTTGTAACTCAGAAGAGGGAACACTTCCGGCACAAGTATTACTGACGGGCCACAGGCCAAAGTCAGTAACACATACTATCTTGCTTGAAAAAAAAGGGTAAATAAAGTAAAATTTAAAAAAAAAAATTTTAAAAAAAAAATTAAATTTTAAGTGAAATCAAAAAAATTATTCGATATTAAGAAACGACCTGACAATACTTGACGTGCTTACAACGACGGACTTCTGCATTGAATGAAGCAGGTAACTGTTTATTCCGAGGTCTCGAAGATGTTGAACTAAACTTTTTGGAACTATCCCCGTTACTGACCTTACTGACTTATTATAATTATTATTATTATTATTATTATTATTTATTTATTTATTTATTTATTTAAAAACTGAAATCTCTATCGCCCATGTAATACTTTGACCGAGTTCATTGTAAAGGAATCAACCCACATTTTCAATCAAATTAAGTTAAGAATGGTTTAGAGTTTCATTAGCTGAAAATTTTCTCCTGCTATAAGCTGAAATTCCAAAAACCAAACTTTTATCCTGTAAAGAGGGGTTAAAGTTTAACCTTGAAATTGAGCCTTTTGCAGGAATGAAACTCTGAACCTCTTTTTCTCAGTTTCAATTTAATGTGAGTTGGCTCCTTTCTGATGAACTCAGTTCATGTATAATGATGAAATGATTACCGTGATGTTGGTCTGTTGTTGCTTTCATATATATTTTTGATGAGTTCACACCTCGAGTCTCAGAGGACCAAACAACACTATTTGTAATGATAAAGTGATTCCAACAGACATTACTTAGTCTGTTGCTTTCATATATATTTTTGATGAGCTCACACCGCAAGCCTCAGAGGACAGTGAAATACAGCCCACCAATCGCATAGCTTCATTCTCCCTTAGTCTTTTCTTGACCACAAAACAGGCACAAGTTTCAATACTCAGCCTGCATGTCTGAATGCTTTCATCTCTGCTAGTTTCAAAGATTTTGGGACTTTTTTTCTTTCTCATGCTAGGGCATCGCATTAAAATAAACATGTAACTTTCTTTCTTCCTGCTGACCTACCAACTGCGGTTACTCATTTGGTACGTTGTGCTCAAATGAGATCTCAAATTAGCAATGCCTTGGAAAAAGTTAGAAATATGCTCACTTAACTGTCAGTCAAGAAATCGGTAGGTCTGAAGTCTACTTTCTTGCAGTTTTTTTACAATAAACTTTAACTTATTAAATTACTTTTCTTTTTGTTTCAGAATTATGACACTTCAGAGTCAAAACTCAGGAGAGAATTTGAAATTTACGGACCCATTAAAAAGGTAAAGCATTATTACCAGTTACTTTTTCCCCTCCTAATATTAGGTCATTTAAAAGTTTGAGTACTCAGAAAATAAAAAGATTTTTTTAGGGTAGAGTCCCTTTATACCCAGAGTTACGACAACTCACTTTTGGTTGGGCCAGGATTGGGCTGAAAGTGGCCTAAAAAAAAATCCAATTCTGATTGGTTCTCGCTCATGGAGGCCAAAACTAGTGCACCAAGATGGCGGTACCTCGAATGTGAACAAGAATAATGAAAATCTTACCTAATTGTGGTTTATCGAGAGTAAATTGTTATTTCCATCGGTCCAAAATGAAAATAGAATAAGAAATTATTCACAAACCAATCTCATTTTCTTTTTAATTGATCAATTTGTTGATGTTGTTGTTTTTGTGTGACAGACATCGCAGGATTCCTGATCCTTATCCCTCAATATCGTTCGTTTGAGTGCACTAGTTTCGGCCTCCATGGCCAGCCAAGGTCGGCTGCCAGTCAGCTGATAATCGAGTTGTCGTTACTCTGGGTATAAAGGGACTCTATTTTAGGGTTGTTTAAATGACTAAGAAATGAGTCCTTGTTGGAAAGCTAGTACTACTTGCTTTAAAATGCCCATATACTCTGAAATGGCTGCCCTTGTCGAAGGTGGGTGGCTTAATAGGAGCTTCACAAGCTCCAAGTCGCAGCATTGTTGCCTTGCATCTCTGTCTGTCGGGTCGCTCGACCGGTATAACTGGCATAATTAACAACTCATTTTTAGAACTCTGAACACTCCAATATCCGTTTGTAAAGGTCCTCTTGTTGTCACTATTTTTTAACCAAACTGTGACAATAGCTCTCTGGGAACAGATAGGCACTCCAAAATATATGTACTTTTTTGTGTACAGACTGCAATCATAAAAGAAGATGAAGTCCTCAAGAATAAATCCTGAAGTTTTTAGAGATCCTAACTCTCTGGAAGTTGCATTATGAAACTGGTTTTGATTTTTTCACCAAATGTTCCCACTCAGTAAACTAACACCTCTTTAAGACATCCAGAAGGCCACAGGATTCTGAAATCTGGATAAATTGGGCACGACTCAGTGCAGATTTTTTCCCCCTAAGTGTAAATTTACTTCACAACCATCTTGATTAAACTTTTGATTTTTCATTCTACAGATTGTTGTTGTCCACAATACTGTCAATGGAAAGCCTCGAGGGTATGCATTTATTGAGTATGAACATGAAAGGGACATGCATGGTAAGTTTTCTCTCTGCGTTGTAGTGTCAGTATTCACAAACGTGAAGACGGACAATCAAATCACAGTAAACTGAGACCTCCAAGCACACTAGCAAGTCCTGACTTTCAATTCTTCGAATGCCTTTTTTAAATTCTCTGGAAGAATCGAGCTTGATACCCTCATTAATTAAACTGTCATGTGTTTATTTATGCCCAAACAAGGCATCTTGAACTCAGCACGTCCTCTTTTTCAGTTGTCAACTGATCGAGAATAGTAAATCTCTCCTATTATCTCTTATTGTCCCCAATTCTCAACATGTATTTCTCTCAAAAAAATAATTCCTCTTCCAAAAGAATTCTAGGGTGTCTAGTGACTGAGAAAATTAGGGAGAGCCAGGAAGAAAAATTGCATAACCAGGGGAGTTATAAACACTTGTACAAGATTGCGCCTCTTCATTGAGCTCTGCAGTGCCTTCTCCTGGTGCGCAGTGAATTTCTCCGCTTTGATATTTGAGCTCCTGTTGATCCGTGCCAGTACTTTTTCTGAGCTGTTTTCATTTTTGTGATTCTTTCTGCAGCCGGATTGTTGAAACTTTAACTGGCTTTGTCGGCACGATAAGACAAGACATAGCCCTATCTGCGCTGTGTAATATATCGATTTTCGATTCTTGTCGTGCCGACCAATTTCAACGATCAGGCTGCAGGAAAGGAAAAGGTCCGGAAAAATCAAAGATAAGTCAGTGAGGCGGAAAATCTCAAGGTTAGCAAAAACCTGGAAAGTCAGGGAGGAAGCGAAGAAAATAAAATGTGCTATTATTATTATTATCAAGTTCCCATTTTCAGTGTAAAAGTGATATCACTTTGACTTGTGAGATGTATATTTCTCTCCAAGTTGGCCGGAAATTACTGTGTTTTTTTTTTTTGAGTTTTCCCTCAGTGAGTGTAGCCTAGGAGGTCTTAGTTTTTGTGAACATAAAAAATTACTTTAGTTCTGTTTATCTAGTTTTCTCTTAATATGGATGAAATGATGAACTTGGCAGATGCATTTCCAAGGTGTCTCAGTCACAATTTTTTATCCACTTAGAGTTCATATTTGCCGAGGCTATGCTGAATTCAGGGCTGCCACAGTCAGGGAACACTGAGATGTGTCAGGGAATTTAACAAAATTAGGGAAAACTTGGAAATGTCAGGGAATTTTAAAAAAATGGGGAAAACCTGGAAATGTCAGGGAATATGACGAAAGTGTCAGGTAAAATTTTTTAAGTCCTCTTTATTTTCTCTCTAGAATGGGTCTGACTTTTCAAACTTCAAATTATGTCTTGTTAACCATCTGGTATATCTTCAATTATGATGGAGTTTTACCAAAATGTTTCCAGGAGTCTCAATATATAAACTTTGTGGCAACCCTGAATTATGTACCTCAAAACCCATAATAGGGAACGCGCTAATAGTAAATTCTATCCTCTTTATATCTAAACTTATTAACCACTCAAATACCCTTAAGTTGTAAAAATTAGCTTGTGTTTTGTCCCAGAAAGATGAGTCTAACTGATGCAGTGATCTCAGACTGCTTAGTAATACTTATCAGTGTGACTTGTTTGGGATTAAGAGTGGTCGATCAGTCTGATGGCACACTAGCTCACAAAATTAGTATTCCAAGTGACAAATACTCAACTATGTGTCATTCATCACGAGAAAGAAGTATCATCTAAATAGAGAAGTATATACTCTGAGGAGTGGAATTTAGAAAGCCATTGGTATCTGAAGTCTAGGTTTTAGATTGAATTCTGTATTTGGTTGTCTAAGGTCAGTTCGTCAGCTTTTTTTTTCTTCTTTTTCTGGAAATTTCAACAAAGCTCGTAGAAGTACATGTAATTAACAATGAAATATCCCTATAAATATGTCCCGGACTGTTCAAATTGCAACTGCAGTAATCAGAATCACAAGGGGTCTTATCTTTTAGAAGCAATCAAATGTTTTAGGCGATGGGCACCTTTTCTTGATAGCTTAGGATATTTTCTTGCTTTTTAGGATGTTTTAGGAATATTAAGAAATGCTTTGGGAACTTTTTGTTTTACGGTCGTCTTTCCTGTATTTGGTGTGACTATTCTGTTTCATCATTTTAAAAGAAAATTGTATGAAATCACTGTGTTAACAGTGTCAGTTTTCGTTTTGCTCCGTAAATTGGTAATTATATTTTATTATTACACATGTATTGTTTGTTTAAACTTCTCTTAGAATCGGATTATAAGCAAGCAAATTCTCCAGTTGTATCAAATAATTTCAAAGGTTTTCAAAAGTTTCTCTAGGCTGTGAGGACACATTGAATTGGAAGAGTTGTAATGATTTGGTCAGTACAGATCCATCGACTTTTCAGTGGTCACAGGGCATCATCTGCTGTTCTGAAGTGAAACTTCTTTTGTTCTTTCCTTTTTTCATTATTTATTTTTTATGGGTTTTGAGCAGTGGTAATTTTCTCTTCGAATTTCGATAGGACTCTGTCTCAAGAGAGTTGTTTGCAGTTGTGGTGAGCAGTGCAAATTAAGAAAATCATGAAAAGGGGAGGCAGTAGTCCAATTCCTTTTTGATAGCGCATTTCAGGTTGCCATAGTTACCTTGATGTTTTTTAGTTCGATTTTAGGAACAGTATCTACAGAAGAGAAATAGAGCTAGTAAGGGATTTGGCAGCGTGATTGTATTTGTAGGCTGTTGGTTGGCATTTTAATGAAAGCACAATCATTACATTCAAAGCAGTAATCTTTTATCCTCATTGCTGTCATTTAATTGAAGAGAAAAATGCAACAAATGATCGATAATGTTTTTGAGAAAGTGCTGAAAAATTGAGTTCTAACAAAAAGAACTTGAAGATGTAGGATGTTCAAAAATGAAATTTGTTTAAGAATTGAATTCTAAATTTCAACTCCAATGAGAAATGGGCTGAAAGGCACACATCTATAATCTTGTTGCGAGGATCACAGGGATGGAGATAACATAAAACTGCTGATAGGTTTGGCTGTTGGTCGAAGTTATCATAGTTATCTTGGCTTGTCCAAAAAAGAACAAGAAAAAAAATTGGTAAGCACATGTTTCAAAAGAATTTGTAAAACAGCACCTCAGTGTTGCGGTTCCAAGTTCTGGACTCTTTTCACCTGGTGTACTGCAAAATGGCTAAGTATGGCTAAGTATCCTACCCCATTTCTGCCGGAGTGGCTGAAAAAGTTTGAAATTCTGGGGCATATATAATTTTAAAAAAGAACTATCTCTGATAATTCAAAATAGTAGAAAGTTAATGCCTTTGCTTTTATTGTTTTCTGAACAGTATGAGACGAGAGATGGAACGCTTGATTGCCCTCGCAATACTAAAGTGATTACCATTTTCGCTGACTTGATTTATAGGTTTGTATGTGTGGTAAGATCCAGCATACAAATTGAATTTCTTCTGTTTTTTTATTATTTTTTTTTTACCTATAATATTATCTTATAATTCCTTTAAGGTAGGGTTTCCATTCCTTGTCATAATTTCATTGAGGGTCCTCTTCATCTCCATCGTTCCCTAAATCCTGTAGAGGTATTGCTCCCCACACCAACGCCAAGTGGTGAAATAAGAAATTTCAGAAGATCTGTACAAAAAATGAGTCTGCTGAAGGAAACCGAAACAATATTAAGTGTATCCAATGAATGACTATCAATCCTCCTCTTTCATTTTTGAGGCAGTTCATGCCAGTCACTCCAAATCCTGCTTTGAGATGCTGATGACATGCATTTTAAAACAACTGTCAAAAACAGATAGCAGTTTTTCCAGCGCTTTCCTTTTCAAACCAAATGATAGTTTTTTTAATAGTCAAGTGTTGTCAAGAACTTTCATGGCCCACAGTCTTGTTGAGTGGAAATTTTGACCAATCATTTTGGATCAACAACAGTAGGCTTCATTTCCCAAATTGTTTCACTGAAAAGTCCAGGGCCCAGCCAAGATTAAAATTGTATCAACATCCCCTATGAGAGCTTTTTCTATGGAGCTTCACTGCACATAGCGCACTTTTTGACTCCTCCTCACAATCGATGCTGTCTTTCATAATCGGCAAGCGCTTTTAACACTGGGAAAAAAGTAAAAACCAATATCCTTTATCCTCTTTTTTTTCTAAGTTTAGTACATGGTTTAATTTGTGCGTTTGAGTAAGTAATTTGCGCACCAGGTAAAGTGACCGATATTTCTTAGTTAAATTATTCTGGATGGAGGATGAATCAATACTTATCGCAGTCCCCATTTTTTGCCTTTCTTCGCTTGTTATCTGACGATTCAGTTCACGCGTAAGTACGTTGGTAGGTACACATTCATGGTTTCTTTGTTTTTAAACAATAAAATTAGCAAAATCATCCAGTGGTAAGTTAAGAGTGCCTTGAGCAGGTAAATATGAGCACGGATAACTACCCAAGATGGTGATTCCGGTTTTTTGCGTTAATGAACTGAGGAAACAGATCAGCAATCTCCAAAACGATGCTTCGCCCCTTTCGCTTGACGCTTATAGCCCGTACAATGAGAGATATGTCATTAATTCTCCGGGAAACTTCTTAAGATACCTGATTCACTGCTTTATTCACCTTCAAGGTGAAAAGTTGGTAAGTTAGTGTGATGGTATTGCGTTTTCTTGAGGAAAATTCGTCGCAACTAAGAGGTGTGCACAGGTCAGCAGAGTGATTTATTTATCGCTTTTTGCATGAAGAATATTTTCAATGGTTTTACTGAGCAAGCTGCTCGCTCAAGGAACAATTTACTCACAGTTTTGTAAGTGAACTGTCAAATAATTTTTCATTCTCCCAATAGCGTCCTTTTTTTTTAGAGAGAGTATCGATTCTCTGTTTGCTTCTCCTAGCTGCACATACTGGTTGAAGTATGTGAAATGCGTAAAATGAAAAATATTAATTTTTTCCAAATTGGGTCTCGTCACAATGATTGCAGATGCATCAGTTCCTTCAAATGTATAACTTCCCTCCATAACTTGCACCAAAATTAAAGTTTACCACTTACACTTAATTAAAAATATGAATAGCTCCTGTACGGTTTTAAGTCATGTAGTTTTCTCTATAAGTCAGTCCTCCTTGCTCCAAATAGATGGATTTTACTCCTGAGTAAGTGGTAATCGTATTAAGGTTCATTCTTCGAGATGGAGAGTTTTTCTCCTCAGTAAGTATTTGCCCACCTAAAAATCTTCTTGTAAATAAAACTGAATTATAACAGGCCAAAACACCCTCAAAGTCCTTCGGGAATCGATCGCCCAGTAATCTCTTCGGGAACAAAAAAATTACCCTCGCGTTTAAATACGTAAGTAATAACTTTTTCAGTATATTTCTTTTCGAATTAAGTCGTTGATCTTACAAGTTATTGACTTTGCTTATTATTTGAGAGCTGGAGTCATGGATCTAAAATGTTGGGGTTGGTTTCTAAATGCTTCATTCAGCACCAATTATTCATTGGTCTGCCATAATTGTTTTGTTTTCCCTCTTCATTTTTATTAGTGGAAAACGATCTTGATGAAGTGTGTGTTACTTCTCTTCAAAATACATTTGCAGGCTCCTTTCCGGGTATTACTGTATCTCTAAATGTAGATATTGATGTTTCCCTGTCTAATTGAATCATCAGAGTCAGGCAGGTTTGTATTTTTCAAGGCCAGTTACTGCTCCAGAGACTGTTCTAAATGTTAGCTCTCATTTCCTAAGTTCGTCAGCCCTTGTTCAATAAAATTGAGAAATTTCGTTTTTTATGGAAAGTTTTTAAACTTCAAATTTCTTTTTTTTTTTTCTGATAAAACTTAACCAAAAAAATTAGAATAGTTTTTGCCAAGGGCTACATGAGGGAAAGAGAAAAAACACATTAGAATGTTCTCTGTGATCTTAGGATTTATTCTGACAGTTAATGCCTTAAGAGGATGGTATTCAGCAAAAAGAAACCGATTTTTTTGCCTAGTTTTAGAAACGCCATCTTCGCTGCTAATTTGTATGTGCATGTAGGTGTTTCTTTAAATCCTGGTTCTTTTTCGATGAATACCGCCTGAATGGAGCGATGACACAGGCCTATACCAAACAGCCCAATAATATCTGTCTGAAGTTGTGTGTTTTGATATTTACAGCTGCGTACAAAAATGCGGATGGAAAGAAAATAGACGGGAAACGAGTCTTGGTGGATGTCGAACGAGCGCGAACTGTTAAAGGATGGCTGCCTCGTCGTTTAGGTAAGGGCGGTTTAAATATCTAATCAATAACTCATGTTCAATGGTAAGAACTCTGAAATCAGGGATTATTAAGTTCTGATGTAGTGAAACTTAGACCACTCAGTTTCATACAACCAAATTGATTCTTCAATTACTAACTCACAATGAATAACGAATAATATCACCATTTTATGTTATTGACGGAGAATAATTGGTTCTAATAATGAATCAGGGTGTCCAGAAGCCATACACTTACTGGAATGTCATTCGACTTCAGCCCGATATTATGGGAACATCAGATGATGATGCCATAATATGATTATGATACATACAATTTTGTACAATGTGAGGTTTTAAGATCACAGTACCACTGCAACAAATTTTTCTGTTTCAATTAAATTTTCCCTTGATTCCTCTTGCTCACTTCAAGTCAATTTTTATACAGGTTGAAAGAGAGCTTAAATAAAAAGTCATTACTTTTCAAACTAAGGAACCCTGCACAATCTTTATGGGAAATGGCTCTCTCTACAATCTGACGAAACTTGGATATGTTGCTCAGCTAGTCACTCTGATCAAAAGCTCTGATGGGCCGAAAAAGATCCCACAAGCGGTTTTCGAGGTATTCGCTGTTTTATGTGTGCAAATTGAGTGTCCGCTGGCGGAACTATTGTGCGGCGCTGCTCATGCCCCTCCCTTCCAGTCCACTCCGACCGCTCTTCGCTTCCCCGCCACCCATACCCTAGGCTTGGACTCCGACACTCACGAGACGGGTGGTCTTATCACCACCCAGATAAGACTACCCGACCAGGTGACTATGAGCAAAGTCTCGTGAGCATCAATAGTCACACAGCGTGCACAGTAGTCCGGCCAGCGAAAACTCAATTTACGCACATAAAACGGCGAATATCTCGAAAACCGCTCGTGGGATCTTTTTCGGCCCATCAGAGCTTTTGATTAGAATGACTAGCTGTGCAACATATCCAAGTTTCATCAGATCGTAGAGAGAGCCATTTCCCATTAAGATTGTGCAGGGTTCTTTCATGAAGAAAGGAAGAAGGAACGAGGGGGTAACGTTCTACACTTTTAGCTTTGCAGCTATGTACTTTTTTTCATTTTTATTTATATTTTTTCTACAAAGAAACCATTCAAAACAGCCACATTTCAATTTCCCGACTTTGTCGGACTCCCTGTGTGTGCAGAAAAAGCCTGAAACTATGTTCCTGGACCTTACTTGCCAACAAGAATCCAATGTTTTCATCATTTCGCATTGAACCCTCTTTTAGAGTAGTTGATTAACCTTTAGTTGTAATGTGACGAGTTGTCCTGAAAATTCTACACCTAGACACATATTATTGTTTATTCCAGAAAGTCTGATGCTTTCCAATATTCTGAATTTTATTCCAAGAAATCTTGTCACCAACTTTAATTGCTGTGATCTTTCCTTTTACAGGTGGAGGCCTTGGGGGAACTCGTCGTGGAGGTCCGGATGTTAATCTAAAACACTCTGGTCGAGAAGACAATGAAAGGGAACGCGAACGATACCGCCTTGAGCGAGAAAGAGAAATGGCAGGTGGTGATCGACGGGTTGACCGCGATCGTCGGCGGAGTAGATCGCGCGATAGAGGAGATAGAGACCGCAGGGATCGCGATCGTGATAGGGACCGTGATCGCGAACGCAGGAGACGCTCGAGAAGGTAAGAGCTGTCTTTTTTCCCCCATTTTTTAATGATTGAATTAATACAGGGTTGCCACGGTCAGGGAATTCAGCGAAAACCTAGAAAAGTCATTCGATAGATTTGTGGTACGATATTCTGTATGTCATTCTGAGAGCAGCAATAAGCCTCAAGTCGAAACCTTCTATGCACCAATTACTAATGAAGAGCTGAATAATGAATTTCAGAGCAATTTCTCTTGCATTTTTAGCCAAAGTGTCATTGCATGCCAAATAAGAAATCAAGGAGAGTTCCTCCTTCCTGGAACGATAGAACCAACAGTGTCGGATTCTGGACTTTTTTCAAGGCTGGCAAGTCTATAGGTAAGACGGAGAATTTGAATAAAACGAAGTGTCAAGTTCCAGACGGAGGAACATATCTCCGTTTGTAAGCTGCAAAATTGTCTTAAAAAACTCCGTTTTTTACATGGATATAAGCTCGCAATTTTGGTAAAAAATTTGGCCAATTTTTGCTTCAAATTTGAAATCAAAGCGGTCGCACTTTAAGTCAGAAACGCCCAACAGTTTCCTGGTTAAAATACAATTTGAATAGAAATTTTACCTTGTTGAAATGTTACCTACCTGCATTTTTTGTCTGCACAATGAAGGAAAGCCAAATAAATCTATAAATCCTCTGAATAATAACAGTAGGTGGTTGTATGCTGCCTTATGAACAAAAGCTCTTCTAAAAGTTAGGCACGCAGCAGTGACGTATCCTCATGAGTTAACCAGTGTCAAGTATGCAGCGAAAAAGTCTATTTTCAGCTACCATTATCTCGAATCCTTTGCACTCATAAGACATTCAAGGGTCTTGCTGCATCCTAGTTGCATGCCTTCAACTCAAATGAGTACATGACTCAGCACAGACCTCTTTTTTTCTTCCTTTTCCGATTGGCAGTATACTATTTTATATAGATTAAGACAATCATAACGGGTCAGTGTCACCAATTTTTTTTTTTTTTTTTTTTCCCAATACTTTTCCTGAAAGTACGGAGTGACCTAGGCCCCGAAGAATTTTTTCAGATTTTTTTCAACCTTATCTGGCAAAAAAAAAAATCCATTTTGAGAATGCCAAAAATCGGACCTGTTTGAAACGACATTTATGGTGGACTCTGATAATGTAGCCATGCGGAGGAAATGGCAATTGCTGAATGGCTAAACTCAGCTTCAATCATTCTTTGCTACGTCAATTTGACTGTCGGCTTTTGATTAGCTTTTTCTCCCCATAGAAATGACCTTTTGAAATTTTTAATGAGCTTTTTTGTTTTTTCCATAAATTTTACGCCAAATTATCTACACAACAACGCTGGTAAAATTCCTTGTCACTCTCCTTTTGTCATTTTCTATCGAGAAAGGTTATTCATTTGCTGTCATTGAATCATATTGAAACTGAGAATGGTAAGTTATTTTATAAACTAAATGTAGCAATCTGCTCCTCTATTAATAACTAATTTTTTCTTCAATTTCTAAGGAATGAAGTAAGGGGCGTTCCCATTTATTTTCTATCTCCGCCTTGTGACCTTGCATGACCTAAAACTGTATTTAATGTTTCAGTCGCTCTCGAGATCGTAGAAGGCATAGGAGCAGAGAACGCATTCGAGACCCTGATATTGAAGAAATTGAGGAAAGACCCAGAGACCGTGATCGTGACCGTGATAGGAAACGCAGGCGCAGTCGGTCGAAAGATAGGGATCGTAAACGTGACCGCAAGGACAGAGACAGGGACCGTGATAGGGATAAGGACAAAGATAGGTAAGTTCACTTTTCATTACCAAGTTCTAGAGTTTAGACAAGGTTTGAGTCTGGAAAATGTAAGTTAAAGTATCTACATCAATTTTACATGATTGAATTGTCTCTTTTAAATCACTTTTTGTTAGTCATTTGCGATTGACGTTAATTTATCCTTTATCTTCAATGTAAGTGTTCCTTGAAAGTAATAAAATCTAATGGCCCTCTCATGACTTAGTGAATCTAAAATTAAATTTTTTCTTGTTAATTAAAAAAGTGTCCATTCGAAAATTATAAATTAAGTGTTGACAAAGTTTTGAAGTACATACCAAGCAACCACAAAAAGCCATTTCTGATTTCCATTCAAAGATAATTGTATTTACCTAGTTTTAATCTTATTCGTTACTCTCTCTTTCTCTGTAGGGAAAGGAAAATTAAGAGAGAAGATGGTGAAGCCGAAGAAAAAGTCCACATCAAGCTTGAACCTCCTGATGGTAAGTTTAAATTCAATATCAATCAACAGTTTTGCACCTACCGTGAAAACTTGATTTACTAGATCCTCCGAGTCCTTGAACTTTTTCTCTACATAAATGTTGAAGTCCTTGCTAGTTATCCCATTTAGGATGCCCTGATTTTTTAACTTTCTGGTAGCAGAATTTCAGCTGGAATCGATGAGCTTTTTAAAGAGTTGCTAAATTTTTGCACCCAAAATTCTTTGTTACACTGTGGTGAAGCGCTTAGAAACTCGATTGCCCAATTGTCTGCACATAGAAGCTCCAATGATTTGAATCATGCACCATTAAGAAAATTAAATGACGAATAAATAATTAAATAATGTAATGTCTCAACTTTCATGTATTTATCTTTTTATGCAAGTGCGTGTCACACCTGCAACACCCTCAGAGCACAGATACCAGAGAGGGAACCCAGCAGAAAAAAGTCCGCATGGAAAAATAAGTACATACGAATTGAGAAATTGGATTTTTTTTCAAAAATTTTCTTGTGCGGCTCTTTGAAGAATGCAACAATTAAATGACACCTGGGAAATTAATTGAAACTCCTCCATAATTACAATGAGGGAGCATGATGGAACAAGCATTATGTCACTCTCAATACTGCGGCAGAATCTGCAATGAAATCACATATGACGGCACAGTGGTGTATTGGCCTTCTGTGTGAGATTAGAGCTCAGGTCATGCAATCACAAGCAAAGCTCTGCTGCTACCATCTTGACACACTTCTCCAATTTGGTGCATGGTTTCATCCAAATGCATCATGGATACTCTCACATGAGCATGATTTATTTCGCTGCAAGGACTGGTTTTTAGAAAGGTGATACATATTTTCCAAACAAAATTTCATGTAGAATATGGTACACGCAATGAAAATTACTGAAATCAACTTCCAACTAAGATATTGACGAGTTTAACTCACATTGCCTAGAGGAATTTGGGATTACCCACGCAAGAAAAACAATACTCTGCGTCAGGTAGAGTACCCACCACAACAGTTTTAGTGGGCCTTTTAGTCGAGCAATGTTCCTCCTCCGCTCTATTGTATTCATAGTGTTAATAACGTTCAATAGCTAAGCCAAATCGTCTAGATTGAGTTGGTCTTATTTTCATACTGAAGAGACTGTTACGATAACATTTAATGTGCAATTTGACTCGCGTTGACATAAGTTTTTTCAGGAGCAAGTGGTTTAATTTTACTTATCGAAAAACGTTGAATATCGTAGTTAGTAGTAAATTTTGGTAATTTTTGTTTTGTTAATTGTGCTCTACCTGAAATTTTTTATATAAAGTCATGTATCAGAATGTGTAAATTCTCATTTTGTCTTATGCTCCATTGCGCTGTTTCAGTATTTCTCATGGATGTTTTTATTTTTTTTGTAGAGGGACCGCAGCATCAATTTACCTGACTTTTTGTGATCTTTTTTTATTCTTATGAGGAAAGTCTCTAAAATTTTCAGTAAAATTCGAGGGGTAATTCTTCCATGGAAAGAAAAATATTCATTGAGATATTGTAACAGGTCAGACAAGACACGTTGCGCAGGAGACAACAAACTGTTTGCATTCCGATCCCTGGTTGGTTTGATTGTCCATTGTAAGAGTGAACTTATTCATACTTCAGCTAATTTTCCCTTTTTTGTTGTTACTTTCAGACTACCCTGACTATCCGAATTACAACGATGAAGAATACAAGAATGTGGAAGTCAAATATGAGAAAGAAGATGAATTTGCACACAGCAATGGAAATTATGAAGGAGAAGATGAGTAAACTGTTTAAGCTTTAAATTTATCTGTGCAGGCCAGATCAGTCTCTGTGTGGATTGTTCAGTCAAGTGTATATAGTCATTTGTATAAATAAGAATTACGACCCCTCGCACTTTCTTCCCTCAAAAAGTTTTTACAAATATTCGTGGTTTCTGAGCAATGATTGTGATTTTTCTCGGAAATCCGTGTCGGATAGAACTTTCAAAGTAATGACTCAAATTGAAGTATTAAAGACAGAATTAGAGTTAAAGAGGTTTTTATTTCTTTTCTTTTTTTTTTTTTTTTTTAATCAAAATCAATAAGCTCGATCATTAATTTTTAGATCTTGTATTTTTGAAAAATAGGTAATGCACTTGGTTCAAACAAATTTTCTAGGATGGTTTTTTAAGATATTAATGCATGAATAACGAGTTGAAGATATTTTCTTTGAGCTCTCATTTAAAGAAGCATCAAGGAGGGTGTGACCCAAGTGGACCGCTTACTTTTCATAAATGCCAAAGTTAAAAATTACTGAACACGAGCATTCCAAAGATAATTTAACAATCATTTTTCTCAAATGCAATTAACGTTTAAAATATTTGTCATCCATTTGTAACCAAGGATTGTGTTGAACTTGAGGCAAAGCAAAGCCAAAAGATTAAAAAAGTTAGGCACTCTCAGGTTTATTTTGGTTTATTTTGATCCATTTTTAGCTGTAAGTCTTACCAACAAAGATGAATCTGTAAGAACCTAAGCAGAAATTTATTTGGTTTTCTCAGAAAATAATTTTCCTTTAATCTGTTCTTTTGTCGCGCCTCTCCTGGAGTATACAGTTAGTAAGCTGAACTACTTGTAGAGCGAGACGAAAGATCCGCCCTCTTGATCCTTGCAGTTCTTTTCAGTTTCATCGTGAAAATTTGAATGGTAGATCTTTTCTCTTCTAGATTTATCTCTACTGCTTCTGTTGAAATGTGCCGGAAAATATTTCAAATTTTGCAAAATTCCTGTAATCCAATTTTAAGGTCTAAGAATTCTCACATTCTCTCTCAAAATCTTCAGTTTTAACCTCTGAGGGAATTTTCTAAAACTTAAAATTTCAAAGCACCCTCGGGACTGAATTTTTTTGGAGTTTTGGTTTCACCGACTTTAATTTTGCAACCTTTGAAATGTTGGCATTTGTCTTCGGTTAATGCGCCTTGTCTGAAATCACATGTTTCTGGATGAAAATGAACCTGTTTGTCGTGATACAAAAGAATTAGGTTCGGAGGTTGGTTGGAAATATGATCATTGTCTGATAACATGCCTTCATTATAATCTGCCATCAATGTATACATTGTTGTTGACCATCTCCAAAATTAAAAATTGAAAAGGGTTTCAGAAGAAGGGTTCATATTAGTCCAAGTGCGCTCGTTTCTCTGAGCAGCAATTAGCTGCACAAGTTGCAGCGCTACTGGCTTGTCCAGATAAGACAGACCTGAGGAACTAATTAATCCATGTTTCGTGGGCCTGTCTTCTGGAGTCTTCTTCAATTATCCTTGACCGTAACGAGATATGTCACTAGGCACCATAAGATGTCCACTATTATTTTTTATGAATGATTCCCTAACTGACTTAACAAATTCAATTTTCGGCATTGGGGAGTTTATTTTTTGCAAGGGAATAAAATGACTGGTTGAGAGTAGATATCCCTGAACCTTAACCATGCAGTGCTTATCTTTTTATGATCTCCTGTTGAACTTGTCTGCTCCCTGTTTCTGCTAATTTTGTTTTCTACAGCCCAATGCAGACGGTCTAACTATTAATACAATTGTGTGCAATATTACATGATTCAACTTTTCGTCTAAACCAAGGAGAAAGAAAGAGGAACAAAATGTTCGACCATCTGTATCCGGCTTTTCGTATAGCAATACTTTTAACACTTTCTACTAGATTTTTACCCAGCTCAGGAAGTGCGGACGACTTGTTCTTGCTTTTGCAGGCTATTTTTGCTTCCCTCTGTTCTCCGTTTTCCTGATTTTTTTCTCTATTTTTTTCCTTTTTCATATACTTTAAATGCTGAATACTGTGTAGGTTCAATTTTAAGTCTTATCATTGGTAGAGTAGAATGTAGTAGGTCATAATTTCTTACATGTTGTCCCCTCTGCCTGAATTTGGTCACACTCCTCCTAGTAGCGCATTTTTACATGAACACTCGCAATTTTTTTATACATAATTTTGGACTGTCCGATTGAAAGAAAACTGAATTCTTTGCAATAAGGTTTGATTGATTTGTTGAAATTATCAGCACAGAGCTTTGGAAAGGATTTTAAATATTGATGGTGAAACCGCAAAAGTGTGCAGCTCCTTGTTTCTGTACCTCCACTCCCGTCTTATTTTATCAAAGCAGGAAATTCAACACCATTGCTTGAAATTTTTTCAGAATATTCTTCACTTCACTTCAAAGGAAAAATCAGAGAATTCATCTATGAATAATGTTAAGTATTTATCCATTAAAAAAATGAACTATGAAGGAAGCTTTGCAGCATCGCACATCGAGATATGCATTTTTGCCATCAATATGTCCAAGTACCTTTTGTCGAGTTTGGTTTTCTCTGAGTTGCAGACAATGCTGGCCCTGATTCCTGCGGGATTTGAAGCACACTCTTCTAAGCATAATCAGGGTTGAATCTGTGTATGTCTCAAGATAGTGCTCAGTTAAAAATATATTTTCCGGTACTTTCAATATTTTTCCATCCTGCTGGGTATTCATCTGACAAAAGTGTATTTTAATTGAAAAATGACCTTTGTGGTAATGTTTCAGATAAAGGTTGAGATCTTGCAAAAAGTGTTGATTGACTAAAATGTATGTAGAAATGGACTGTGGATAATTTTCTCTTCTAATTTTTTTAATTAATTTATTTATTTATTTTTTTTTCCAATTTACAGGATATTTTATATTTAAGTTTTACGGACTTAATGCTATTGAATATTTTTGAATTTTGTTCTTGTCTGAACTTCTTTCATTTGATGAATCCAATAAAACACCGCTGAAATCTGCTTGCTAAGTATTTTAATTTTTTCCCTCTTTGCACCAAAAAAGTTTCTGGAGTCAGGCATAATGAAATTTTTTCTCTCGGCCTCTGACAATTTAACAAACCAAATTCAGGAATTGTGAATTACCGTTTAATTTTGATGTAGCTTAAATGAGTCGATTATTGTACATGAAGTGGCAATTTTCAGGGAAGAGATAGGGTTACTTCCTTAGAAATTTTGAAAGACTAGGCTTTTCAGAATTTAAAGACCAATTTTTTCGATTAATGCTGCAATGTTAATTCATTTCAACTGCAAGTCTTTCAGTCATTTGAAATAACCAATGAGTATTGTGACGTCACACAGCATAACCACACTCCAGCAATTTATATTCTAAAAATCATCAAATTAGAAGCAAGGTTTTGCCAACTCTTATCCAACTACCCCTCTCTTTTTCCTTGTGAACATTTTCCTTCTGTGGTAACAATTTCTGGAGGTATGACAGGTATGCAGAAAGTTCCAAGTTTTTCCCCAATTTTGACCACTAGGTACTCATTAATCATTCCTCTAGAGGCTTAATATTAAGCATTCCCCCTTTTCCTCCTCAAAAAGAAACTGAGGCTCTCCACCGCTGAAAAGCTAAAAATATTTTTGGAAATACTTGGAGAATCCCTTTCACTTGACCAAAGCTGAGGGCAATAGTGTGGTTAGGTAGTTTCTGCATCCCTGAGTTAATAAGTAAGAAGCCGGAGAATCTAGGAGGTGTTTAACGAACGCAGAGTGGATCTAATTGAAGCAAACATTTTAGTTTCAATTTACAAGTAAATAAAAAAAAATTCTATGGACCATCAAATCTTCAAATAGGATTGCCACAGTCAGGGGAAGAATTGAGGCTCTGGATGATGAAAAGGCACTTCTGGATTGCAGTGTTTCAGAATCTTCAGTTGCTAATTAATCCCTTGGAGAAGAATTTAATGGGTGATTTTTCCAGAATTCTTTCCATAGGAAATTGTAGAAGCACGAGGAATACTCAGTACAAGTTTTAGTGAAATGGACGCATTCACTTTCCTTACAATGAATGAAATATTAGAGGAGACTCTGAAACACTGCAAACAGTGCCTTTTGCATCCAGCGCCTCAATTGTTAAGTCACTTTTATTTGCTTTGTGGTGTGGTTCAACGTTTCGAACAACAAATTTTGCCCAACAGTTATTTCAAAGTATGTCTTCTTAACTTCATGGTAAATCTTCAATTGTTATAGAATTTACCAAAATATGCTGTGGAAAATCATTTCTTAAATTCTGTGGAAATACCTGGTTTAAATCACCTTTTCTCTCTTGCATTAATCTGCTAGGTATTTCACTGTATCTTGACTAGTTCTTTCAACTGTCGCGCACTGCACAAAGGTGTGTCGATGACGTAAGTGTAATGAAATTTGTCCATATTGACCACAAATCCTGAGGAACTTCTCTTGACTACCTCTCGGAACTGATGTCCCCACAATATTTCAGACGATAAGTATGATTTTCGCACTTCCGTGTTCTGCCCCGTTGTCTCCACAACACCCTCAAGGGATATCAAAATCTCAAACTGAGAATGCAAGAAGTCCAATGCCGACATGTCGAAAAGTGGGCTGTCTTCGTCAATTCTGTGCTCTATCAGTGTCGGGTAGAATAAAAAACATGCCCTGGGAACATTAAAAACCATATTATGTTACAAAAAGTCTTGCTGAGTGAGCTAACCGGGGCCCTCAGCGCAGCGGCGAGCGGCGGTCGGCATGTAACACATGTCAGCACCTGCAAGACTGCATGAATACTTCACGCATTGCGCCGAACACAGTGCGGTCAGCGCGGCGCGGCGCACGGTGGATCGACTCAATGGGATAGAGGTCGGACAAAATTTGGAAACTTTACAAGCTTATAACTCCGTTTATACAAAATATTGAGGTTTTAAAAATGGCTCCTCTGGTTTCCTCGTGAAATTTTCTTTAAGATACACCCCTTGATATTTAAAATGTGACGACGTAAACATCAAAATTTGCAGTTTCAGTCAAAAAAATGTCCGACCTTTCTAACTGACTCGATCCACCGTGCGGCGCGGCGGAGGTTAAAATTATTAAACCAAATTTATGTTTGTTCTTGCATAATTCTTATTTTTAGTATTTCATTAAAAGTAAGCAAATTAATGAGTTTCAGATTGATGCGACTCCCGTCACTTTGATGGTAATTGGTTCGGGAATTTGATCGTCTATCGAGACCTTAAACCTAGGAATGAAAACTGTGATCCCTTGCTAAGGAAAAACACCGTATGAGCCTTTGGAAATTGCCAAATTTTCTTTGATAAAGCAAAGATTTTCTCGGAAATTTTGAGATATTTTCTTCCTTTTCAAAGCTGTTAGTTCGCAATTTGATCTAAATCGTTTGACATCTTCAAAGAAAAATATTAGTCAAGTTCCTCAAAAGTAGTACTTTATCTAGAGAAAATTGGCAACATTCAACTGTCCACACGAGGTTTTTCCTTAGCATGGTTGTGCGTGTCTATTGTTATAATTTCGCAAATTTAAGGACTAGGAAGGTATTCATCGTCCATACAAGCTATGTAAATAGGTACACGTCAATGAATCATATGAACCAAAATTAGATCGCTTTCAGCAGAAAGGAATCAAGCCGCATCAGCTGTTGCCAATTTTAAGTTTCATGTTGACCAGCTTCTCGAAAAAAAAAATTTCTAAGGAAGTCTGCAACGTCGCATATGGAGAAACGTCGTCACTCATTTTGCCCAAAAATATGTAGGTATGTATAAAATTGAAAGCATTATTATGACTTTCCTCTCTCAACTTATATTCGTCTGTAACGATAAACAATGGGACGCGTTCGCTACGGCGCCTTGATACAACTATACAACCTCGACGGATGTCCATATTGCGTTCAAAAAATTGAAGGCGTTTTGACTCCCTGCTCATACCACCTGTAGTTGATTCGATCGATAGACGCGTTGGTCGGCAGTGACGGGGACTTGATGCAACTATTTAAACTTGATGGATGTCTGTATCGCACCGACTGAAGTGCGAAACCACGTATCTCCATTGCGGTGTTTCAAAATTTCCGTTCTTATTTCATCTCTTCCAATAGAAACAATCCAAATTCACGACCTTAAATTTTGAACCAAATCTTCTGCTATCGAATACGATTGATCATGTAGAATTTAAGTTTCACGTTGATCAGCTTCTTGAAAAAAAATAAAATTTCTAAGGAAGTCTGCAACGTCGCAAATGGACAAGCGTCGTCTCTCATTTTGCCCAAAAATATGTATGTATAAAATTGAAAGCATTATGACTTATTTCATCTCTTCCATGAGAAACAATCCAAATTTACGACTTTAAATTTTGAACCAAATTTTCTGCCATCGAATACGAAAAATCATGGAGAATTTAACTGGGCAATTTAATTGTTCACAAGAGAGCGTCAACGACATACGGATTCCTTTTGAACATTTTAAGGTATTTTCTTTGTACCATGCAGAAAATTCACTGAAATTTGCGCAAAAATCCGCACAACCGTTTTCATGTAAAAAAGTGAGTTGCCCAATTTTTGGCAGCAGCTAATGTGGCTTGATTCCTTTCTGCTTAGTGCGGTCCAATTAGCCTACGGGTCAGAAAGTAACCTGCCTCCAAGACTCCCCTTGATGAGATGCCCTTGTTCCCCCCCCCCTCCCCTCCCCATCAGAAGGTTTTATTTCCAGAGGTCGCATGAGGTTACATTATTTTTTTTTTTTTATTATTCTTTATTTTCCAAGATACCTCCTTACTTTTGATGAGCATATCGACGGTGTAAGTCGGCAATCACATAACTCGGTTTGCGACGTCGCAGACTTCCTGTCATACTTTGTTTTTTAAACGGAAAACTACTCAACGGTAATTCTTTAAAACTGCCGTGATTTTTCTTCTTTGTGCGAGGAAAATTCTGCAAAAACTTCAAGGAATCATGTCCATTTGTTCTCCTTTAAAAAAATAACATAGTTGCGGAGATTTTCAGACACCGCAAACGAGTTATGTGATCGCCGACTTGCACCGTCGATATGTTATTCACGCAAAAGAAGTATTTTAATTTCATGCTTACCTACCCGTTAAGTTTTAGCTCTTTTCGATCGGTCATGAAAGATTTACGCTTGGAGTTGGTCTCAAATCTAGCAATCCAGGCAGTTGCTCTAGCGATACCAACATGGGAAACTGAGCTGCAGGGGTCACCAACACGAAACATGAGGCGCAAGTATCCATCGTCCTGTAGCGACACTGTAGCATTCCGACTAAAAATGTCACAGGAAAGTGGAATTAAATGTTCATTATACCATACCTTTCATTCTTTAAAAAAGGAAAAAAACCTCTTAAAATCTCTAGTGGAGATTAAAAACCCCATGAGAAACAACTTTCAAAAACCCTTAAAAAACTGTTATTGAGGAGCTGCTAACGACTATGAATACAGCTCTTTTATAGCTTTGGGTAATTTTATGATTGGAGTAGGTATCATTAAGTTTATATTAGTGTAGCTTGCTGTTTCAATGCTCCAATTTTCCGGAACTAGTTCCGAAATTTCCTCGGATATTTTCTGGGATTTTTCCCCGGAACTTTTGAAATTCTCGGAATTATTTACCCCCGGAACTTTAGAAATTCTCTGAATTTCCCCTCGGAACTTTTGAAATTCCCGGAATTTCCCTCGGAACTTTTGGAATTCCCGGAATAGTGGGATATTCAGTCAGCTTTAACGATTATTTGATCAAAAGTCAATCGGATCAAATCCGACGATTTTCGCAACTAAATCTGGGCGTAATTCAAATTTTTCCCCGGAATTTTTGAAAAAAATTGAATATTTCTCGGAACTCTTGGAAATCGGGATAAATTCCGGGAACTCCTACATCTTTGGTAAAATTAAATCATAGAGTACATAGAGTCGTAATGTAAATGGAAGAGCTGGCGCCATGTTCTGCTCGAGGAATTCCGAGCCCGGTGTGCGCCGAGTTCGGGTCACTTTTTCGATACATTTTCGATCCAAAATGGCGGTGTGGAATACGTGGTGATTCCTATCTCCTTTGTTGTTGTTGTTGTTGTTGTTGTTGTTGTTGTCATCGGATGGCCGGGTACCCGTGTATCGCAAACAATCGATTATGTATCGAAAAAGTGACCCGGCGTCGCACACATAGGAGTCTCGGAATTCGGGACATGGAAAATGCTTAAAAGTGGCGCCAGCTCTCACAATTACATTACGACTCTATATGTACTCTATGAATTAAATGGGAGCACTGCTCTGTTTTACCTGAAAACAATTGTTTGCGTGCGACATTTAGGTCTCGTGAGTTTGGCGAAAATGACTCCGGTGAGAACAGCCTGTAGAAGAAGTCCAAAAATGCTTTGGAATGAAAGGAGGAAAATAGCCTCCGGACATTCGGTCGTTGGAGATCGAGTACCGTATCCTGTCGTGTACTGAGTTTCCAAGGAAAACATGAAAGCGGAGATGAAATCGTTCAGCTCTGTAACGCATGGTTCCACGTCCCTAAAGAGATTTTAAAACATGAGTTCTAATCTGCCGTGCTAAGGAAGAACGCCGTATGAGCCTTCAGGCGTTGCCAAATTTACCTTGATAAAATACGAATTTCCTGGTAAACTTATGAGTATTTTCCTTCCAATTTTTCAGATAATTTTCTTCGCTATTTCACCTAAAGTCCCTGAAAATTTCAAAGAAAAATATCCATAACTTTCCGGAAAAATTAACCTTATATCGGAGGAAATTTGGCAACTCTCGAATGTTCATACGGCGTTCTTCTTTAGCACGGCAGTAATGGTCGTGCACCTTATTTGAGAAATCAGAGGGCAAAAATATCAAAATAGAGTTTCGATTTATTGTATGAAATTGAAATTTTTTTCACCATCCAATTGCAATATTTTTACATGATTATTTGGTCGCAGTGAAAGACGATTTTAAACTATCAAGAAAATAAGTATCTACCGAAAAGGAATAAAGGTAATCTGCTATGTAAATAATGCCTAAACGCAACTTAGTATTTCAATTGTTGAGCAATAGGTAAATGTTTTAACAAAATGAGCTCCTTCAATTAGAAACTAGGCAACATACACAACTGAGTGATTAGTTGCACTTGCCGAATTGGGAACGGAGTATTGCGACTTTACTTTAAGATCTTGGAATATGGTTTTTTGACACGAACGTATTATTCCTTGATGATTTATCTGGAGATTACAATTTTGATTTTTGTGAAATTAGCCCTTTAAGTATTAAAATTTAAAATGTCGATGGTACCCACAAAAAATTGGCAACACTGTTTTCCTCCGTTTAAACCTATGCAAATGTATCGATTCTTGGAGGGGCCAGGTGCTCCGACAAAAAGCGATTATTTAACGTGGATTTAAATGGAGGGAATCCGGTGTTGCCAAATTGCTGGATCCGCCTCTGGTTAAAGACGTGGAAACTTGGTGTGGTGCTCCGCTGGTCTATAATTTGAAATCATCGAACCACGGTTCTGTGACAAGCGCGACCGACCCATTTTTCCAAAACCGAGGATCCACCGCAAGTTGGTTGTACTTACGATTGCGGGTCATGGAGGTCGAGGAGGTCGCCGTGGGCATAGGCGATGGCCCACCAGAAGAGGGCGAAGACGAACCAGGAGACGACGAAGGCCAGGAAGAAGACGCCGTGGAGCCACCACCAGCGCATCTCGACGAGGCACGTGAAGATGTCCGGCGCCCAACCGCCACTCACCCTCTTCCCGCCCGCCATCCAATCAACATTCGAGACCCCGCTCGACAGCAGGATCCGCGGGCATGGCCTGTCGTGAGGAAGTCGAACGTATGAGGGTGGCTCCAGTGGAGATGCAAAAGGAAAGGGTTGTTCCAATAATAGACGATGTTACATGTGTGAGGAATTTGCGATTAGACTATTGATCCTTATGTAAAAGTTCGCGAGAAATACGATGGTGCCACTGGTTTTCTCTGAAATCAACTCCCAAGCTCAAAAAAAGCTCTCAAGTTGAGGCCAAAATGGAGGGGATATCTCACGCTATCCTGAGAGTCCACCTCTATATCAAGACAAGCTCTCCATGCGAAGATAGGGAGCAAATACATTAGCAGGGCTGCCACTTTATTTGGGGACTCTAAAATTGAAAACACGGCAACACTGCTATTGTATTTGCTCCCTATCTTTGCATGGCGAGCTTGTCTTGATGTAGAGGTTGACTCTCAGGATAGCGTGGGATATCCCCTCCATTTTGGCCTCAACTTGAGAGCTTTTTTGAGCTTGGGAGTTGATTTCAGAGAAAACCAGTGGTACCATCCTGTTTCTCGCGAACTTTTACCTATGAATCGATAGTCAAATCCCAAATTCCTCACACATGCAACATCTCCATTGACTAATGGAACATACGCCGTTTTGAAAACAAGCCGGTGATCGTAGTTCTGTATCGGAAGATGCAGTCTACTTCGTAAGGTTTCATGAAATTTAGTATCTCTGAGTTCCACACGATATCGAGAACTGATGTGTCGTGGTATCAAAAATGTATTATTCGCACATCCCTGCTAAAAATGGTGAGTACAAATCAGTAGAAAATCAAAGTCGTATGAGTAGGATTTCAATTCATATGAATAGAATTTCAACTCATATGAATCGAATTTCAACTTATACAGGGTCATTCAAAAGTCACGCACCACTGGCCATGAGAGGGGTGGCTATTTGAAATTTTTGAGTTGCCCCCCGCCCACCTCCCCATGAGGGAGTCAAAAAATGGGAAGTACCTAAAAAAGTTTTCCCCTCGATATGAGCAAAAACGTCTTAAACCGCAAGTCGATATTTTAAGTAGAACTAAAGTTTTGGCCAGTGGTGCGTGACTTTTGAATAACCCTGTATGAATAGCATTTAACTCATACGAGCAGAATGTTTCTATTCAGTTTTCGCCAACTCATATGACTAGAGATTCCAACTCATATGACCAGAGATTTCAACTCATATGAGTTAAGCGTTGAATCTATACCATGTCCGATATCTCAGAAACTAGTCACCGCATCAAAAAAAATTCAAGTACAAAATATTATTATTTTTCAAATTTACGTATTAGGCAGGTGTCTCCTGGTCAGAAACAGCACTTCTGAAAAGTCAAAAAAATTGAATTTATGTGAGTTGAACGTTTCTACTCTTATGAGTAGAATATTCTGGTGATATGAGTAGGATTTCTACTCATATGAGCAAGATGTTCTACTCATGCGAGTCGGCGAATTCTGAATAGCCTACTCATCATTGTTAGCTGGAATACCACATTTTAATCGGTAATTTTCTCGCTTGAAAAAAATGAGATGATGGAGAAAGTCATATCTTGTGAATTATTGCGTCACAGCCTTTGCATCGGAAAGAGAGTATGAAAATGTTAAGAAAAAAAACGTCACTGCGTTTTACTTTACTAACGAAGAAGAACCAAGAACATCGAGCGCACAGAGCGCCTTCAACGTTATTGGATACAACTATTACTGCTCGATGGATGACTGTGTGGTATATCCATTGAATTGAAGGCGCTCGTATATTCTTGTGCTTTAGGTGAGACGTCACGACTGTATAGAAATGAAACTGCAGCGAAGATGTCACCGCCGCTATTAGGCAATTGTAATATATTTTGAAAACAACCAATCACGGACGGACGGAGCTATTAGGCAATTGTAATATATTTTGAAAACTACCAATCACGGACGTTATCACGATGGTGCCAACCAGTCACCGGTTTATTTTTTAGCACTTCCAAAGACCAAAACTAAGAATATAATATTGTCGTCGGAAAACGTTCACATTTGTTAACCGACATAGGTTTGTGCAAAATAAAACTCGATGTTATAATTAGTGAGACTCTGAGATCACAAAATGTAGTGTCAATCACGTAGCTTTAGTAGTAACTATCGTAGAAATCATTTTTCAATAATTCTCTGAAAAGTTAGGAAAAATAATGTCTTAAGAAATTCTCATGGGATGAATTCATAGTGGTTAACACTGTCTGACAGAATCTGTGTAGAAAGAAATATTCTGTAAGCCACTATTCTTTGGGAAGTTTTTCTTTTCTTACAAATAATAGAATACCTGAACACTTTAAATATTAATAAACTACAGACCATCATTAGATATTTTATAAAACACGTTGAATACTTATTCTCAAGAATTATTTTTCTATTTAAATTATTATTATAATTAACGATTTTTAAACGTTTTTTTTTTGACAGTCAATAGTTACCACTTGAGAAGTAACAGGAAATGTATCTCTGTCCGTCACACATAACCGAATTATAATATGTTGCTGTTTAACAGTTGCCATAACGATAATTTCTTCATTTTTTCCCCTTTTACATGAACCTACGTAGGTTCACTAGCATAAGCAATTTTCAACGATAATTGCATTACTTTTCATTGAATTTTTAACACATTTTTGAAAACACCATAAATGGCACTACTATTTACATTAGGGCGAAATCATCAGTAATTGTATTTCTCAGAAGATATTTCAGTTACCTAAATAATAGTGGGAGTGAAGAGCTTTGCTGCGGTATTATGAAGTGACGCCTCACCTCCAGTATGCGAGTAGCCCGAGCGCCTTAATTTTGTCGGTTATACTGCACGGACATCCGTCAAGCAATAATAATTGTATCCAGACTTCGAAGGCGCTCTGTTGGCTCGATGTTCTTCTTTCTTTTCCGATAGTAATTTGGTTTGGAATTTGGAAAAACTAGAAATCCTGAAAGACTAAAAGATAAGTACTCCACCAGTGCCATAACTAAAGGATTTTTTTAAAAATATTTCCGGGTAAATACCTGTTTTTATGTTTCCTAGTTGTAGCTTCCTCGTCCGGCACAATGAGTAAACGGTGGTCGTCAGTGCTCATTTTTTTGGTCTAAGTGTCGTATTCAATGAAGTAATGGCGAGGTTCTTGTTGTGAAAATTTTTGAAAAAATCAGTCCGGATATATTTTGGCTGGTAAACCAAGGCTTTGCTGTGATATCAAAATAAATCTGAGGCATCACGTTATTCTTGCATTAATTCCAGCTACCCGCACTTGTACTTATTGTATTTGAATGAATCTAAAATACTATCCTTTCGAATCACAAATCGATCGGCTGACGTCGCGTGGTGCGTACCACAGATCGCGACGTTATGAATCACTGTTCGTGTTTTTTTTGTTCTTCCTCTTTTCTTCTTTTTAAACAAAAGAAAACTAACCAACAGTTTTTGTTTTAATGTTCCGCGAATTTTCTTCACTCATTTTAGGTAGAAAAAAATCACACAAAATTGGGAGGAAAATTTTGTATCAGTTTTGCTTGAAGAAAATAAAACAGTTGGAAATTTAAAAAGTTTCAGTTGAGGCGCGCATTTAACCGTGAAAATATTGAACCAACGAGGGACAGAATGCACATTCGGTGGATATATTTTTCTCGCGGTGCAGTGCAATTTAAAATAGGCACCATAACATTTCACACCGGTATCCACGATTTAACCATTCTTAAAAAAAATAAAATGAAGCGCACGGAAAACACAAACACACGTGGGTAGAAACGCACAGAAATGAGAAGCACTGGGAATTATCATCTCTTCAGCGATGAATTTAGTTTGAGGCAGTTTTCATCGTTTACTTTTTTCCCCTTCGTTTTTTCATGCTTGCACCGGGACAACTAGACAAGCATAGACAGCAGTAAGTACTTAAATACCGGTATGAGATACCGACGATGAAACTGGAAAAAAATGCGTAACTCGTTTGCGGTGTTTTAAAATGCTCCTATTTAATCTTATCACAGGAGAACGAACCAACAGTCATCACTTGAAATTTCAATTTTCACAGAATTTTCTTCCTGGAGAGGAAAAAAAACAGGGGAGCTTCTAAATTACGTTGAGTATTTTTCTGTTCAAAAAATAAATTATGGCTGGAAGTCTGCAGCGTCGCAAAGCGAGATACGCTGTTTTGCAATTTCAACGTCTGTTATGTAACCTTGGTTCACGTTGCACATGCACTTAATGCTGTTTTCTTTGGCGGTAGCACTTCACATGTGGTGGAGACACATAAAACATAATCCGAGCAATGGTCATAAAAGACACTCGAGGTGGAATTAAAATAGTAATGTACGAGTACAGGTGCACATACTTAAGTGTTTCACTTGACGATAGGAACCTATAGGTAGCTACTCGACCTCCGGGAACAAAATACACATGGAAAAAATGAAATTGCTGATTAACAATTCTGTAGTTTGAAAAAGTATCCGACATGTTTCAATGTAGATTTTACGATAACCACCCCCGTGCTTTAATTACCTTTCCTTTATTGTAAAATGTACATTTGAAACATGTCGGACATATTTTTTTGACGATTTAATTGTCAAATCAGCAATCCATTTTTTTCCGTGCACCGCACAGTCAACTCTCGGTACTTTGAAATTTAAGGGACCGGGAAAAAAGTCGAGGTAACGAGATTTTGGACCACCTCAAAAATAAAGAAAAAACAGAGATTTTCGAATGTTGAGGGTTGGGCTAAAACAATTTGAACTAAACAGATCTTAGACAGATTCAAAATTAGATTTATTGACATGTTTTATAGTACCCTTTTAATGTATTACAATGAATAAAAAGTGCTGGGCGTCCTGTTTTTATTACTCTAAGAAATTATGCAGTATTCGGTCAATAGAGGGCTTCTTCAATCGACATTTTTCCGACGCTGATCTGTTAGAATTTTCGAATTAAGACGAGTCTCGTCATGGCGAATTGTCTACGCTTGGCTCTGAAAAATTCGCATTAGTGCATTGATTTTGTTTTAATTTTTGAAATTTTTTCAAGGGCCCGACTTTTTGATTCGTCCTAACGAGATTTGTGAATATCAAGAGTAAACTATAAGCAATAGAGAATCATGTTCTTTTCTTCCCACCAATGAAACGTTAACTCGTAGAGCACTCCTGAAGGCGGTACAGTGGCAGAACCAGAGATTTTCCATTAGGGGAAAGGGTCAACAATTTACCATGGGAGGGGGGGGGGTGCTCCAAAGGAAAAAAATTCTAAAGAATCGCAAAAAATGACCTCTTTAGGGGGAAATGTTCGTGTCATGATGGGGGCGGGGAGGGGTCCACACCACCAGAACCCCCACTCCATTCCACTCCTACACTCGGAATATTACGAGATTTAATTCCATACTCGATACTTGTTCTCAAACGCATTGAACTTATACCCAGGAATACTTAACAGTCGTGAGTTTTCCGCCTAAGCCCAAAAACAATGGAACAATGGAACGAGGAAAATTACGCTTCCGTCAAAATCATTTGCATTTGATAAATTTATCACTAATCTCGACAAAAAATAAATGAAAACAAACACAAAAAAATCGGGATTTTTTTTTCGGAAACCTCCACGGGCATAGGTACACATAAAAACTGACAGACCTGTTCGTAGTAGTGCCTTTAACGTCCTTTTAAAATTAGAAGCACTTTGAACAGTTTGAGCGACAACTGATGCCCAAATAGTACTTTGCAACGAAAAATTGAAATGAGGTTGCAAATTACTGCGATAAACTTCCATTTTTTTTCTACCACAAATTTACAATATTTTAACATCATTTGGTCAGTAAATGCCGATTCTAAACGATCAGTAGAATGATTCTCCGTTTGCAGTTGTATCAGAAAGATAGGCAATTTGCAATGTAGCGAAAAAATTCACCTCATTTTAATTTTATCGCAATAAATTTCAATACGAGGAGCCCCTTCAAACTGTGGATAGGCAATCCAAAACGTCGATATGCTAGAAAAATAAATCAAATCGATATTTGATGATATATATGAAAAAAAAAGTCTGGAAAATTCAAGGAAAAACATTCATAACTGTCTTCAAAAATGAATACTATCTGAGTGAAATCTGGCAACAGTCGACTGCTCATACGGTGTTTTTACTTAGTATGACCACTGGAAGAAAAAAAAAACCACATTGGACCTGGAGTCCAGACTCTTGAAAACATTGACAAGAACAAGGACTCTTGATCAATCGGATTTTTGCTTGAATCAAAACAAAATCCGTTTAAATTAAGAGGCTTCGTTCTTGATTTAAGCTAGATTCTGATTGAATCAAGAGTACTTTTTTTTGTCGAAGTTTTTAAGAGTCTGGACTCTAGATCCAATGTGTTTTTTTTCCAGTGCAGTGTTGTGGGTCTTTACACTGGAAAAAAAAAAAACACATTGGATCTAGAGTCCAGACTCTTGAAAACATTGACAAGAAAAAGGACTCTTGATTCAATCAGATTTAAGCTTAACTCAAGAACTAAGCCTCTTAATTGGAGCGTATTTCCTTTTGATTCAAGCTTAAATCTAATTGAATCAAGAGTCCTTTTTCTTGTCAATGTTTTCAAGAGTCTGGACTCTAGATCCGCAATGTGTTTTATTTTTTCAGTGTACTTTTTTCTGCTGTTTTCTGACACTAAACTTAAAGCCAATTCAGCGCGATAAAACTCTCTTCTTGGGAATTTGGCCACTACCATGTTCTTGGAATTCGACGAAACTGCGTGATATCTATCCTCGCTGCGTCACTTGACGCGTAAAATGGGGTGAAAGACGGTAATGGAGAAAGTAATTTTGACCCAATGTTCGCAGGCGCGCGCTCGCATGAATGAAAGTGTTGAAATACCCTATATCCTCGCCCGTGCTTGAAACCGGCAAGGGCTGGCACATTGGTGCCAGTAGAATGGATAACCAAAAATATGGTATCTGACAATGAAATCAATTCTGCATTCTATTCGATATCTATTGATAAATCTTGCGTCAGGGCAAAATATCGTTGCGATTGGAGGGACAATGAAGTTGTCTGAGGGATTTGTGTTAGAAAACGTTTAACGAGTTTCAAAATGAGTAGGTGTCGAAAAATCGAGTTTTTAAAATATTCGGAAAGTGCCCATGGACCATTTCGGCGCCTCGCTTGTTTTGAGACAGGAACCATTGCTTTAAATCCTCATCAGATTTTTTTTTAAAAACTTTTTGACACGCAACAAACTGAATGGTTCAAGGGTTTCATAGAATTATATTCACGTAACTTGGAAATGGCAAATGTTACAGCGGACTCGAGATGTGATATCATTTAGTGCAGGGTAAAAATTGGTGCCAAAAAAAAAAAATAAATAAATAAAAAAATAAATTACCATAGTGGAATTATTGGAATGCTTTCGACAATGCTGGATTTGAGCCCCCAGTGGTGCAGGTTACAATTAATTCCAAGTACGTTGTCCAATTACAGCTGCTCTATCGCAGTGTCGTGGATGTTGCCTACCCGCTATTAGAAGGGGCTCCTCTTATTAGAATTTATTGTAATAAAATTGAAATACGCTGTAAAAAAAATTTGGTGTCACTTTACAAAACTATGCTTTTCAACCTTCTGCGGTGCGTGATTTTGAAAATTCGAACAATACCCAGAGCAGTGTGTTACAAATCGTGTGTGACAGATTTAGTAAAAACATCCTCAAAGGACTAGAACTCCATAGAAAAAGAAAAGGAGGTATTTGCATTTCGGGCATCTTGGACTTTTTTGATGACGCAGGTCGGTACGGCGACTTTTATCATCGATTTTCTTGGAAATGGTGTAGTTTATAGAAAAAATGCATACTACATAGTGTTTGAAATTATATCATGAGTTGATTCAAGCAAAAAAACCGGATGTTATGGTCCGTTTTTCATATTTCGAATTCCGGATTTTGCTGACCAGGTTGTGCCGACCTACGTCACAGGGTACACACTTACACAGTCCTCAAGATGCAAACACCTCCTTTTTTTTCTCTATGCTAAAACTCTCGATTAATGTTTTCCCCCAATTTTCTCGCGGGAGAAATGTATCCACTGGAAAAAAAAACACATTGGATCTAGGGTCCAGACTCTTAAAAACATCGACAAGAAAAATACTCTTGATTCAATCGGATTTTTGCTTAAATTAAGGACCAAGCCTCTTAATTAGAGCGGATTTCCTTTTGATTTAAGCTTAAATCTGATTGGAACAAGAGTATTTTTTCTTGTCAATGTTTTCAAGAGTCTGGACTCTAGATCCAATGTGTTTTTTTTTCAGTGTCCGAAATCTGGCAACATTGGAGAAACCGAGGGCTGTTGTTAGTCATCAACAGGATCGAGCGACAGCATGGTGGCTTAACTGTATTCGGCATACCTCATACCCGGGCTAACACTAACGTGCTGATCAAGAATCACCTAACTCTCCGATGAATACGGCATGCATATGCGTGGTTTTGGAGTAGCACGCCTGACTCGCGCCGATCCATTTAGTCGGGGTGTTTCCGCATGTGTGAGAGGTGATTTAAACTGCGCCGCGATGAGAATATGCGACTTCGAAACCTCATTCGGGTCACCATAGAAACCGGATCTGTTCTGCCTGAATAGGGGCGGGAAAACGGTCATAATTTCCTCCCTTTCAAAAGATATGATTTGATCTAAATACTTTTTTTAAAGAAGGAACAAGCCAGAAAGCTCTAATACGTTAGTATCAGGGAAGCGCGTTTTTCGGGGATGTCTACTCGTATGAATTACGTCTCCCAAGTGAGGGGGGGAGGGGGGAGTCTGGATGATGGTGGGTGACGGGGAGGGGGGGGGGGCAAGTCAAAGACGATCAAGCTTTCTTGAAGGCAAAAAGGCAGGGAATGAGATAGATTTTCTGCGTTTCCCCCCAAAAAGGGTGAGAAGAACTCAACATATATTTAATACTCAATATGAGAAAGTAATCATGATCTTAACGCTGCAGACCATGGTCTGCAGCATTAGATATGCATATCTAATGATTTTTATCAATTTTCTACGCTTCCTTCCAAGAAGTTGGGGGAACACGCTAAGAATGACGTAATTTTTGGGAGTTCTGGCAGTGGATGACGGTTAGATACGGTAAGGGTGGGAGNGGGGGGGTCGAAGAGTTGAAAAATGGGTGGCGTGATTTATGAACGGTCCCTTAAGTTTCCCGAAGAAGATGGGCATCGTTGATATGAAAACACTCGCTCACCAACATTTCAACCATCGATTTTGAGAAAATTTAACTACCGATGAAAATATTAATAATAAAAAAACGAGTAAATCGTCCTCCGTGCTTTGACATCAGAAGCATTGAATAGAAGTATCATAGATTCTATCTATTTTGAATAGATGTTTTAAATCCCTCTCCGCTGTTTTGTTGCTGAGCTGGCGCGTCATTTGAACGCACTGGGAGGGGGGGGGGGTTCATGAACGAGGGGGACGGCAGGGTCAAACCTAGTTTTACATTCTCCTATTATAAAAAAAAATCTATTGAAAATAATTCTTGCAGCTATTTTTCAGGGTTTGCCCGATTTTTTCAAAAAAATTGGGGATGGGGGACGGGCAAAACTTGCGTGATTCAAAAGGAGTAATGGGGGGTTAGCTTTCGGATGCCTTGTAAGGAGGAAGAAAAGCTGCCAAAATGCTTTGCGAACTACTCAAACGACTCTCGGGTGAAGAGAAGGGCAGAATGCGGGAAAGCGAGAGAAGAGTACGCGGAGACTTAAACGCAGCGATAAGAAAGTAGTTGATTTATTTGTGATTGAGTCAGGCAAAAGGGCTCTTAAAAAGGGGCAAAATAAAATGGTACCTACTCAGGATTATACCAGGAGATTGATTATGCATCATTTTCAGTAGCGAATATCTTTTTAAAGTTTCAAAAATTGACCTTACACAAGTGTTTTAAAGTTCAGAACGATAAATAAGGAATGTGAGAATAATAAAGATAAAGCTTGCCGACGCCCTTGCCAGCTTTAGAAGCAAATTCATTCCAAATGATTCTTATCCTTCATCAATATTGCAAATTGACCCCTAGGATTTTGACTCAATATTCTTGAGAGTATAGTAGGAGGCGTTATGCATTTAAAATTGACATTTTTTGCCCCAAATTGTGTTCAACACGTCTGCACAGTTTGATGATCCACCTAAGGGGCTCTCTCGCCAGATTTTTCGCATATTTTTGAGTCGATTACTCCCCCCCCCCCCTCCCTTTCGCCGAAACACCGATACTTTCCCGCGTGTTTTATTTATTTATTCAACTAGGGAAGCTAACTTAATGTCCTTTGTCTGGTGAAAAACGGTACACCGTGCCGCCGAATAACCGCTTCGTGGAGGGGAAAAAAAAACAAAAAAAAAACCGCACCAAGTCGGAGTCAGGAAAAAAATGAGTTGAGTAGTTTTGAATTCAACTAGTCGGAAATTTGTTATTGTTAAGATTTCAAATTCGGGAGGAGATATGTTGAAACATGACAATAGTCTCGTTAAACTTTGTTGTTATCATTGACTCTCATGGAGAATATAACTTCAGACCTCTTTCTCTCGGTTCATCGAGAACATCAAGATTCTGAAAAAACAATCGCATCCAAAGAATTGCATCTTTTTTTCTCTAAGATTAATGTACCGACGTAACGCATAAGTCTCTATCGACCGATTTGAGTCAAATAAAATTTGGGTTTTTGGCGAGCGAGGCATGCGTATACGGGAACATGAAACGCTTATTTCTCACTTTAGGGTTGAATTTGAAAGTCCATCGAGTTCCACGTAAATTTTGATAAAGAATCACATTGTGATGCTTGATTTTCTACTGTGTCTAGGGGTCTACTTCCAAAGACTCCCCTTCATGTGTGACGGCTGATATTTTTCTAGCCATTTTGCGCAGAGCCCAATTTCCGCGGATAAGTTACTACCTATTTTGCCGATATACTCTACCACCGTGTATAATTAAAACTCAATAACATTTCCGCTCAAAGCCTCTAAAACAAGGTGGTAAAGTAGTACTGGGTCCACACGATTTTGCAGGGAAAACAAGGCCAACAAATTTCCGAAGGCCTCTAAAACCCATCCCCATAATTTAGGTATGGTATTTTTTAATCATAATGCGCAGAATCTAATATCCGCGGATTTCAATTATTCGCGTTGTCCGCATTGTCAATCACAGCGGATGATCAACGTCTCTTAACATTGAGATTAAAGACCTCTAAACCCTACGTTTTTTGGATAAGATGTTTTCAAATCATTATGAAAAGAATCTAATATCCGCGGGTCTTGGTTATTCGCGTTCTCTACACTCGCAGTCATCATAGATGTTCGAAACTTTATAAAATTGCGATTAAAGCCTACGATTTTTAGATAAGGTGTTTTTAAATCATCATATGCAAAGAATCTAATATCCGCGGGTCTTGGTTATCCGCGCTCTCTACACTCGCAGTCATCATAGATGATCAAAATTTTATAAAATTGCGATTGAAGCCTACGATTTTTAGATAAGGTGTTTTTAAATAATCATATGCAAAGAATCTAATATCCGCGGGTCTTGGTTATCCGCGTTCTCTACATTCGCAGTCATCATAGACGATCAAAATTTTATAAAATTGCGATTAAAGCCTACGATTTTTAGAAAAGGTGTTTTTAAACCATCATATGCAAAGAATCTAATATCCGCGGGTTTTAATTATCCGCGTTATCTACATTCTCAATCACCGTAGATGATCCAAACTCCACATAATTGCTGAACAATACCTCTGAGACCAAACCACATGTTACAATTTGCAATATGGATCCACTCGAAAACCGGCCGACTACCCTCTCCTAATTTTTGCGGTGGTGAAACAGGTTGCGGTCAGGTCGAAAATAGCCGGTGGTGGAGGGTGAAATCCGGCCCGAAGATTCCGGCATAAAAGTCACAGGCAAGGGGAGGGCCCTTTCATTTCACCGGTGTAGCTCATTAGTGTGGCAGTGAAGTGGACAAGAGGACGACATCAACAGTAAGTTTCGATTGCAGAATAACTTTCTAGTTTCCGTGTTCGATCGTAATTGTTTTCTGATTGCTCTTTGCATGTGTGTGTCGCATCGTACGTGCCTAACTTGGGTGCAGTATTCACCGCAGTATACCGAAGTGATCTATCGAAGTGAAAAAGTGCTTACGTATTTATTTATTTATTTGTTTTTTAATTTTTTTTTGTAATTTATTTGTGTTGAAAGGTAATTTTTTTTCTAAGATTTAGTTTTTCCCCGGGACCGACCCCTAGTGTTAATCTATAATTTGCAGCCCACTCTCTCCTTTCCCATCTGAAAAAGATTAAATAAAGGCTCCTTGATCGGGATGAATTGTTGGGATAAAAATTATTCTTTCACTTCCCATGAATGGCTGATCAAAGGATCGATGAAAAAATTACACCGAATAAAAAGTAAAGTTGATTTAACATTCTGGATGTAAAAAAAATGTGCGAGAACTTATAAAATGTCAAATTACCCGCCGTAGCGGTTACTTTTACACCTCGGCATTGTTAAAGTAACTACTGTAGCAGGTAATTTAGCATTTTTAAGTTCTCGCACACTTTTTTTTACATCCAGATTGTTAAATCAACTTCACTTTTTTTCGGTGTGTGAACATTGAAAATTTCATTGGGTAAACGTAAAAGATATGTACCTCAATTACAAGGTTTAAAAACCGCCGATTATGTTTTATGTTCTTCAAGAAAGACTAAAAAAATTTGCCTCGCGATTTTTAGAGCTTCTTTTAGAATGAGTGAAGAAAATTAACGAAACTTTTGAAAGAAACTGTCGGTTAGTTTTCCTTTGCGAAAATAAAACACGATCGGAGACTTAAAACGTCGAACACTAAGATACGCCACTTCAACCATCGAGACGAGTTGAGAAAATCGTCATTCAGTTGTCAATGAGAGTGAAGGTGATAAAAAAGTAAAGAAAAGATAAGAGTGTAACTCCCTAATTAGTTTTAAACAGTTGACGAAAATAAGACATTAAATAAGCGATGCACATTGCGCTGGATGTCGTGCTTTGCATTAAAAGTCGCCTTCAAAAAGTTACGATGCATCTCTTCAATCACTCTCAATTTCCGCCTTTTTTTCCCGCGTGCATAAAATTTGATGGCGCGAAAATTCAAATTAACGGGCGGTCCCGGTGTGAGCGTGTCAACTTGTAACACGACTGTTTGCAGGAGAATCAATAATTTGAATCTCATTTAGCGATGGAGTTTATCTATAAAGGAATGCTAGAAATAGAGCAATCGTACTGTGCGTTATAATATAAAACTCTCTTCATTATGTTAAAACCTTTTCGTTTAAAGACATTCATCTCTTTGAAAAACTTAACCGTGATAGAACTTAAACAGCTTGTTGCAATTACAGTGTCTCAATTTTTTTTCTTCGTTTTATTTTTTAAAACGAAAGTCATATAATATATTCACTACGTTTTAAAACATACTGCCGAATGGCAAAAAAAAAAAAAAAAAAAAAAACACTTGACAGCACTTAAATTCATGATGTGTTTTTCACCTTCTACAAAAATAGAGGCTGGAAAGTTGCCAACTAAATCAATGGATTTAGGGGCTCCAGTTTTGGAAAAAGGAGACACTCCCTGAGAAAATCTCTGCTACAAAATGTTATAATTTGATTGAAAAAAGGAACAAATAATTTCTCTGCTATATCGGCTCTTAAATTTTACCTGGGTCCTTTTTAAACTTTTATTTCTTGATTCAAGGAGTGTTTCTACACCAATTAGATTTTGATATTTTTGTTTACCTAATGATTAAACGTTCTGTGCACCACTCTGAGTTTTTCTGAGGACAAACAGAAACCCAATCTTTTGATGAAGGTGATGACTGGTAGATTTTAAAAACTATTCTCAAATAGCCTCAATTTTTCGTAACTCCTGCACCAAGGTACATACCTCATTTGTGCGGTTTCAGTATTTCTTACGAACATTTCACTTTTTTTTAAAAAGGACCATCTCAGAAATTTGCCTGGAATATCCAATGATCTCTTTTCATGCTTGTGAGAAAGGACTCTAAAATTTATTGTCAGACAAATTCGAGGACAGTTCTTCCATAAAAAAATAAAATTTTCATGTGAATACTATAACAGCGTAGACAGGATTCCTTCCTACAGCGGATAACAAATTTTAGCAGTTGAAAACTTCAGCTCTCATTAAAATTTTTTCAAGAAAATGTGATTGATCTGCTTTTGCTAAGAAATTGTTTTAATTTGACAACAACTAATGATTGTATTTTATGTTTCAGATTGAAAATGGCTTACAAATCCGTCCTCAGCATCTTGGTGATTTCAGTGGCCAGCTTAGTTGGAGCTGATGAGCCGAATTTCGTACCTGGCGCCTTCCCAGCCCAGGCAAGCGCAGCTGCCGCGGCAGCCACAGCATATTCACAGCCGCAACCAGTACCTGCTCCGTTGTACCCATCAAATGAGGGTAACTCTATTGAAAGTAAGCACAAAAACCTACTATTTTTAAGCATCTATTGATCTCAGTTAAAGAAAGGGAATCTATTCGTGTTTCGGTATAAGCTACCTACTTAGCATGTTGCCTCCTTATGATGATGAAACTAAAGAAACATGAATTCTTGTCTTAGAAGACAAGGCACATAAGTGCAGTTTTTGCTATTTCCAGAAATACATGTTTGAAGTTTCGAAATTACATGGATACTTATGGCGGAAAAATAGTTCTGACTGACTTTTTGATGCTTAAGTAAAAATTGGAATTTGGGAGGGAATTTTCCACAGAATATGCAATAAGACTAGTTTTACTTGAAATCATTAATATCTACACTATCTATTGATCTTTATACCACTCTTTATCACTCTCTATTATTACCTTATCTATTTAATTTTTTCAAGAACTGCACTTAGGCACCTTGTCCTCCAAGCCCCTTAATTGTGGATTGGCCTTAAGATTTTCAAGCCTTAATTTTGGCGTTAACTTTTTAGCCAGGCCTCGTCGGTAGCTTTGAGCTAATTTTGAGTCTTTTTGTATGTTGTTGAGGAGCATTACGCTTCTAGACTGTGGAACTTCTAAACCACGTATCTTGGTTCACAACGATGCAGATATTCTGTAATACTTTATTTTATAAATGGAGAACTACTCGATATCAATTCTTAAAACCTTTAGTCATTTTTCTTCTCTGAGCAATAAAAACTCTGATTCTGGGGCAGTTAAAATACTTCAAGTTTATTGCATCAATTTAATTTATTATTTTTTTCTACAATCAATTAATATTTTTTTTTAAAAAATTAAAAACAAATAACAATTTTTGCACAGAACTTCCGCAGGATTTCTTTCTTATATGGAAGCAAAATCACGCAAATTGCTGAGAAATAATAATATTCCTTCTCATGAGAAAAAAATATGTTGTAAGTGAAGATGCTTTTATATCTCACCATCTATTAGCAGAACTCATGCCAATGCACAAGTTGACTATTGATTGAAGGGGAAGACAAAATTTTTTCCAACTCAATAAGGGAAGAAAGAATGATAACAGAATATTTTAGGGATTTGGGACTTCATATTTTTGAGAGAAAAATGGCTGGGGACTGACAACACATTAGTTCCGACCGAAAGCTCCCGGAAACCCATTACAAAATCCAGTTTCAATTTCATGTACATATTCATGGAATTAAAGCTGTATGAAAACACTGTGGTAGTTCAACTGCAAATTTTGTCACAAATCTCATTCTTTAGCTTATAAATAACCACCAAGTACTTTTAAAAGTACTTATTCAGATTTTCTCGGAAAATACAGAAAAAATACTAATTTTTAAACGGTTATTCCACGAAATTCTCTGACATTTTTTAGACTGTATCATTCATGAGTAACCTTTTGCTTTCCAGGTGACAACTCTCTCCAATCATACGAAGAGCCATCTGGCTTCGGAGTCCAGACCGGTTATGAAGGCTACCTTGTCCCGGAGGAAGAACCTACCGCACTTAGCATCATTTCCACCCTCTTCCCTCAGCTGTCCGGAATCATCAACTACATTAGTGGATTGTGGTCACGTAGCTCGAATGTCGTCTCCGGGGCTGCTGGTGTTGTCGCCTTGGGTGGAGTCCTCACTACTCTCACTTGCGCTTTCACTCCTCTTTGTACGCTAACTTTTGTTGGTCTTGCCAGGGAAAATGTCCGTGATAGCATGAGGTCATACTTGACTGAAGAAAACATAGATACTGCTGCCAACTTCATCCGTGAAGCTTACGAGAAGTACAAGAAGTTGAACAACCGAGTTCGCAGGAGGAGTGCAAACAAGAAGAAGTAAACTGAGTCAAACTCTGCATTTATTTCTTAGGTTTTGAATTAGCACTGTACAGATCTTAACTTATTTTTATTTATTTATTTGTAAATATGCTGAAAAATTATTAATTGAAACAAAGAAAGGTTTTTCAAATTAAATTCCTCTTTTTTTTCCTTTAACACCGTCGCCTTTCAGGGAAGCATTTTGACTACAGTTGTAAGATTTTGTAATACTGAAATTATGGCAAGATTTTAGAGAGAAAAGGGAATTGAATCATGACACTGATGCCTCTTCATTTCATTCAGTTTTAGTTAAGTGCTAACTGCAAGTGCCTTTAACATTAAAGAAATTATACTTTTTACTGTCTATTTATATGCTAAATTGAGATACAAGCTACATATTCAAAACTTCGACAGCTTTTGAGAAAATTTTGCGTGGATTTTTAAAATAATACTTGTATTACTGTGATTTTTGCAAATTTTATTGCGTGGGGATGTATGTATGCCATATGCAGTAAATTGTGGCTAATGCGCGCATGAATTTTCAAATTCCTTTCAGTACCAATTTCTCAATTCTTATAATTTACATTAAAAAAGAGGGGGAAAAAAGCCCCAAAGAATAAAACTAATAATCGGTTTGGAAAAATATGTGAGTACATTGTCTGAGGCATGTCCAGCTTTTTACCACCATTTCAATACATGAGTAGTTTTAAAATTTTTGGTCTAAGAAGTAAAATTTCTCCATCTTATATGATTTTTAGAAAAAAAAAGGTTTCATAGGACCATAGAGGGTTTGGAGTAACTTAGAGGGTACCGCTAAAGTGGATCCTGCTAATGGATGGCTAAATGCGAAAAATGCGCATCTTCATTGCAATATTTAAACATTTCCAATAATGCTTGATTTTCTTCAAGCAAAAATGACCAAAATGTCTCCTCGCAATTTTGCATCATTTTTTCAGAATGAGTGCAGAAAATTCATAGAAAATTTTGATAGAAACTCTTGGTTGATTCTCCTTATTATAAAATAAATATGAACAGAGACTTACAACTTTTCATTCTGAGAAACGCAAGTTTCGATTTTAGCCATCAAAATCAGCTTTATGTTTGACTTCCGATTTTCACTTGGGCAAGGCTTCAAGTGCTGTTCCAGACAATTTGATGATCGAATCGTTCACAATAATGATGGATATCCACTGGAAAAAATGCCTCAAGTTCTTCTGATTAAAACTTTAAGATTATCAATTCATCAAATCCATAAGACAAAATGAAAATAATTTTTAGTGAGACCTTTTCACTTGCATTTCTACAACCTCATTCTAATGAATGATGTTTCCTTTACATTTGAAAATTATCACATACAACATCCATTAAAATTCATGCTGAGAAACAATGATGTTGATCTTTGAGACAGTGGACCCGATGAAAGTCGTGCCCCGATAAAACTCCATTACTAACTCTAAAAATATTTCTTGGGGGCCTTTAATTGGCTTAAGCAGTAATAAAAGAGCTTGGTTAAATCCTACCCGCTGTAGACGGAAATAACTCAGATCAGCTTTTGGGATGCCAGGTGTTGCATAGACATTGACGAGGTTGAGTTTAAAATCCATAGAGGTACTTTCGCTCATTGATGCCCGCGATGAAATTAGTTCCTGCTGACCGTTGGCTGGGATTGGGAGATTGGAAACGAGAGTAATGAAGTTGAACGAATAAGCCAATGGTAAATGGGTGCAGGAGATATCTGAACCACATGTACGCGGTAATCTGTTGCAACGACTAGAAAAAATAAACAAACAAAAAAATCAAGAAAGAAGTGGCAAAGTATTGTTCCTATAATTTAAGTTTTCTGGCCTAAAATTTCCGAGAACACCCAAAATATCTATTTAAAAGTTTGAAAAATTAATTCAGAGGGGAGAAAGAGCTAATCAAAATATGACTAATTAAAAACCAATGGTCAAAGGCAATACCATTTCCCCTCTTGGTTGCATCATCGGAGCAGTCTGTCATAAATAAAATTTCAAACAGATTCCATTTTTGGCATTTTCAAAAGGTTTTTTTCGCTGTTTACCTAAACCCCTAATTATAAACCCTAATTATTTTTGAAATTTGTTTATCCAAGGTTCAATTTCAACACTTCCAGATGGTGAAGTGTGGAAGCAGAGTTTGCCACCAATTTCTGCTCCGAAGGGCTTGCTGCATTTTTGGATTTTATGAGGTTCTACTTTATCTGATGGTCTATTTTACAATTCATGCTTCTTTAAATGGAGATGACATTGACGGACATAATTAGAATGAGCCTATCTAAATCAAACATTGCCGACTTTTCTCTGACGTTTTACTTTTTAAATGGAAAAATAAGTGAGGCAACAAGCATACTTACTTTTTATGATCATTATCTTTGGAGTAACCGGGTGGGCAAGCAACAGAGTTGCATCGGAAACTTCCTCTAATGTTGAAACAGATTTCATCAGCAGCTAAACACCTATTGAGATCTTTGCATTCATCGATATCTATAGGATAAAAAATAAGATATTTGCTAGGTCTGAAATTTTCTTGCAGAGCAAAAATAATAATAGGCTGAATCTACACATTATGGCATTTCCAAAAAGTAGATACAGATATTTTGCAGTTTTTCCAAGGATAGGTCAGTTGCTCTATTTACAGAATCATGTTTGGATAGTTCAAGCTTACAATTTAGCAAAACACGATGGAATCTTGTTTGAACGCCAAGTTTCAACGTTCAATACTTATGGAAACATTGTCCTTCAGTGAACATGGCATATGACATTATCCACCACTGTAGTGCATACATGGTTTCTTCTGCTTTGGTTTCATCAATTGGCAATACACACATTTTTACTGGTTGGGCGTTCACATTTGGCATTTGAACGGATCATATTAAATTTTGCTAATCTAAAATCTTACACCATTGAAATACGATTCTGTGCCTAGAGCAACTGACCTGTTAGAAAATTGCAACTTGAAACTGTGAGCGATAATAACTGATACTTGACATGAAAGCATTATGAACAGATGTTTGCACAAAACTATTTTTTTTTTATTTTAAATCTGAAGTTCCTACATTTTTTAAAAACTGATGGACAACAACTGAGGATTTATCGATAACAGGCTAAACTCCAAAAAAATTATTTTGAGTTATTCATACCTATAATTCTGAGAACTGCTGCAGAACATACCACTAACGATAACTTCCAAACAATACACGCACCACTCTTGTGCTGATGGCACTTAGCTTGTTATGCAGCTTGTGATCCTTAGTGCTTACAGAAAGAAATGCTTAAACTCAAGTTTCGATTTTTTGGCACTTGGCCTGTTATTGACGATAAATCCTCAACTGGTATTACAAAAGAAGTAACATATAAATCTTCTGTTGTCACGAAGGACAAAAACTTCAAATCCAGGCAATCTATGGTCCCAGACAGATTTTTCACATTTGTTTTTTATTAAAATATACTACTTCTCTATAATATGTTGGAGGATATAAATTTTGATGTGTTTTAATAAAAAAATTAATTTCCAGTGAAAGAGGTAATAATTTTGATTATAAAATCAAGTCGCTACGACAGGTATTACCATCATACTGATTTTGCGTTTAGGGAATATTTTAATGGCGAAACTTGCAAACTCTGTTCCTTGGTTTGCAACATTGAAGAGCTCCTGTCATACTTTATTTATTCAATGGAACACTACTCAACATTATTTTTTTATAACTTCCTAGATTTTTCTTCTCTGTGCAAAGAAAATTCTGTGAAAACTTCATGTAATCATGTTGATTTGTTCTCCTTGAAAAAAAAAATAAAATTGTCGTAGAGATTTTAGAACTCTGTAAACGAGATACGTGGTACGGGAGTTTCACCTTCAATTTGTTACAGTGGGTACTGCTCTTCCGTAAGCAGTTTACAAATGAGAACGAAAGCTCCAATGCATTCCTTACCTTGACAAGTGACATTATCAGATCCAAGTCTATAACCATATGGACAAGAACAACGGAATGATCCAATAGTATTTTCACACTGCCCCATACAGATGTACCGATCCCGGAATAAAGCGCATTCATTTATATCCTCGCAAGTCCTGTAAATGATTAAAAAAAAAGTGAAAAATGGAAAGAATCACTACGGATGCTACGTATAACAGGGAACCAACAAGAGAAAAATGATGTGCTCGAAAAGTCCTTTGCCTTAAGGAGTGTTAGGTACAGTATAGAGCAAAAATTTGTCTGACAACAAAAGCCTGGAAAATGAGGGTAGTCTTAAAGAAATAAAAGAGAATATGCTTAAAAAAGAATTTAAAAGACCTTAAGGCTAGAGGATATATGATAAAAGTTACCTTCCGTCTGCTGCAAGTCTGAAACCAGGCCTACATGAACATTTGTGAGAGCCAGGAAGATTGACGCAAATATGATCGCAAAGATTTCTGTCTTTGGCACATTCATTTATTTCTGGAAGCAGATGAAAACAAGATAAGTTGATGAAAAAATTCAAACATGCCTTTGAACACATATTTACAAAGGAGAACCTCTTTTTCTGGGTGAAAAACTTCACTGCTGGATGGACCTCCAGACCAGGTTTGAATTTAAGCGTGCTGATAGATATTTCCTCTTCATTTTAAACTGGACATGATTCGTGCAACAAAAATTACAGAAAGTAACTCCCAACAAAGATATTGGCGCTTTTAATGAAAAATTCGATTTCCCGCTCACAAGAAAGACGAAAGTCTACATGAATCAAATTGTGCACTACAATAGGTTTGGCAGGCCTCTTAGTCTTGGTTGGGAAGTGTTTCATCTCCGCTCAGTGTTGATCAAAGTTTAAAAACTTACACCAGCTGAGCTGGAGCACTGAGATTAAGAATGTCAATTTTCATACTGCAGAGACTACTATGGCAACGTTTAAAGTGGGATTTAACTTGGGTAGAATTTGCTTTTTTCTTGAGAGAGAAGTTTGAATTCGAGCGTTGAAAAACGTCAATATTTTGGCTGGGAGTTGTTTCATTGATTTTCGTTGTAACAATCGTTTTTTTTTTTTTTTTTTTTTTTTTTGATGAGTTTGATTTTAGGTAGATACAGACTAACAAAAACATGCGTTCCACAATAAATCTGACGGAGGATCAACTCACCAGCACACTTTCCACTTTGATTCACTTCATATCCAGTTGGACACTCGAAGGTACTTTTTGTACAGTTGGAGGAGTTTTTATCTGAGGTACAGCGGCGCTTTTCGCAACGGAACGAGCCATGTGTGTTGCGACACTGCCAATCAGGCCCAAGATAGCGGCAATTGTCTATTTTTAAGGCACATTCATCATCATCTTAAGGGAGAAAAAGAAAAATTAGTTATTATAGAGGACAGAAGAGCCAACAGTTGTTTACAAATTCACTTTGATGATTTTAAAATAATTTGTAGCTGAAACGTAAAAGGAATGGCGAAACGATAATTATGAACATCTCTCGGTTCTCCTGATTGTTCTGTGAAATGCTTGTACAGTTTTAATACACTTTATGTACGTATGTTAAAAAAAATAAAACACATTTTGGCCGTTTGAATACTTTCATGGAATAAAATTTTATGGCCTCCTCATTTTTACTACTTGTTATTTTCATACTGAAGGATCTTTCACATCATTCCGTTTCACAAATTAAACTAACAGTCTTTGACAAGGATATGAGCTACTACCTTCACATAATCCACTTCCAATATTTAGCGTGTAACCAGTCCCACAGCTTGTAAAACGGACACATTGAAATGAGCCAATAGTATTATCACACCGCAAGCTCGAATGACAATCATGAGTTTTTGTTTGGCATTCATTGATGTCTACAAACAAAAGAGACAATTAATCTTTGATAATATAGCGGACAAAAGTTTAAATTATGCACTAGAGAAATTGTTCCAGATGTAACCAACAAAATGTAAAATGTGAAGTGAGGAAAATGAAATTGAAGTCTCTTTCAATTTCAAACATCAAAGAGAAGAATTTACAACACCAAAAAATTTTCATTGCGAGAGATTGATTGCAATGCACATATAAATACCATCAAAATCAAGGAAATCTTTCTCTTCTTTTTCTACTGACAACAAGTAGCAAAAGCTACCTGCTGAGGGGGCGCCGCCCCCCCAGACCCCCCCTTTCAAATTATATATGTGAGACTTTGAGTATCATAGAAGTCGTGCGGCGACATGCCGAATTACTTGGTTCCTCGAAAATTCTCCTCTTGGACTTAGCCTAAAAGTGTGGACACTTTTTAGCCTCCGGCGAAACCTAGAGTCTATACGGCTTCGCCGCACGACTAAAAAGGGCAAGACCCTGTTTGTCGAGCTCTCGAGTGCCGAGCACATCTAAATCATTAATGAGTATAAAATATTCGTCCAAAATTAAAACAAGGGTTTCATTGAGTTACAAAATCAATGATTCTATATAAACTATTAAAATTAAAAAACAGGAACAGCAACATTCAATCATCTTTAAGAAAAGAGAGCTAGCTTTATGACCATCTCTTAGGCGGTTGTCCAAGTACCTAATCTTTTCCATAATGGTTGTCTGTTCATGCAAATTTTTGCTAGTCTCTCTTTATCCATTTGGTAAACGTTTTCCGACTACATCCTCCTTCTGACCCTGGCCCACTTTGTAAAATCTTGCACTCCACAAGACTCCCTACTAAACTCGGTGTCGGCTGATTCCAAAGTGTAACACCTGCTTTTTCCCTTAAAACTTTACCTCAACTGTGTGAAAATGCTGTCTGAAGCGCTTTATCTCAGCCCTGGTTTGTGCGAAAAACATCAACATTGGTCAAACTATGGTCTTGCAGACTCTGACTTTACTTTGGTGAGCCATATATTTATTGCGCCACACCATATCGTTGAGGTAAAGGGATCAAGTGTATGAAATTTGCATACTCGAAGAATTGTATGAAAGATTTTACTCATTAGGAATTAGTTATGCACATTACTTACCCACACAAGCCAGGGTGACGTTATCTGTTTGAAAACCAGTTTTGCAGCTGCAATAATAGCTCCCAACAGAATTGATACAATCTTGATTGCTGTCACATGGTGCGGTTTCACATTCATTGAAATCTGCAGATTATAAGACAGTCATATTGAAAACACTTGACTAACAACAAAAAATTAGGAAAACTTAAGAGGAACATTTGGACTACATTTTGCAGCTTGGCACTACAATGTCTGGCTCATCTGTAAAAACACTTGTGTACAAAGGGAAGCTAATGGTACAGACGTTGTTTCTAAACTGAGCCAGAAATTGTAGTTCTAAATTGCAGACCGTGGTCCATTAGCACCAATTTCATTAGAATCAGCCTAATTATAGCAGTCGTGAAACTTGTGAAAAATATTTTCTTGCAATTTTTAAAGAATGAATTTAAAGAAAATTTTAATAGAGCTCGGTTAGTTTTCCTTTAAAGAATAAAATATGTGGGAAGACTGAAAACTTTGCAACCTGAGATGCACATTTTTCAACGTTAGCCTAACGTAAAAATAACACATACCAACACATTTGTTTTCCTCCTCATTAAATACATAACCAATATCACACTGGGTTGAATACGTTGCTTTTGACTTGGTTTGTCTGGTAGAAGATGAATGCTGACGGGCCACACATCGATAACCGCCAGGAACATTAACACAGGACTCCGTTGCTTCGTTACAAAGATGAAGCTCTTCTTTGCACTCATCAATATCTGCATCAAACGGAGAGATAATTGAGTAAAATAAAAAACCGTTTAGTCAAAAACCGTTGCAAACTTTTCACAAAACAAAGGGGTTGCACCATATAGTTCCCCTTGGGCTAAAATTCTAAAAAATCGACTGTTTAGTGGCACTGCTTCAGCAAGTTTTTGTAATGAATGGATGATGAATTAAATCTTTACGCAATTCTTTTTTTTAATTTTGATCCAGAGAAAACTTTTCCCTTTATTGCATTAAACTTTGGTTTAGCTTCTTAGCTTGGTGAGATGAATATCAGTGCCCCAGAGCCAAAAGGTACCGAACTGTAATTCATATTTTTGGAAAAAATCGAGTTTGTGGCATTTTCAAAATCTCTATTAACGGTTCCGTGTGTGTGGAAAATTTGGTAGCCCTATCTTACACCAGTTATGAGATACGGAGTTTCAAAAATTGCGATTTACATTTGAATGAATGAGGCTGACTTGCGATTTTCCCCTGATATCTTAAAAAGACCAAAATGGAGATGGATATCTTTTGGCTCAAGGGTACTGATATCTTCTACTCACATCTCAACACAATCAGCAATTTCATCTAATTTATTTTAAGGTTCCCATTCCCCAATGTGACTAATTGTCACGTCATTGCAATGAACAGAAGTTTAGGCATCCCTGATTCTGAGGTTGAAAAAAGTAAAAATTTTGGTTTAATCATTTATAAATTTTGAAAAATGAAGAGAATATAAAAATGGGACTGCTAAAATTTTACCTGTGCATGTATTCTGAACGTTGTTAGCCTTAAAACCCAGAGGGCAGCGTATTACTTCTGTGGGCATTGTTGATGGTGTAATGCTAGCCGATTTTTCTGAAAAATATTAAGTAGTTATGATTGTGGATGGTAAAATATGGATCAAATCCAATGATATAAAATTAAATAAAAAAGTAGATAGAGAAATACTTATAAAGAAATATATTTTTATCTTCAACACACTATATCGCAATCCTGTAAATCTGAAATCTGCCTGATAAAGAAGCTATGCAGATCTTCCTGTATCAAATGTTTCATAGTTCTTGCTATAGTTTATTTTAGAGCAAGAATAAAACAATTTTTTGTCCAGAAATTTTGAAACAGAAAAAAAAAGAAAAAAATTGGGTTATCATTTTAAATTTGAGTAATAATTTTATTTTTTGTCTAGCGCTTTAGATTTTTTAGGCAAAAGCAGTTTATTTGAATGTTTATATGTAAACAAAAATTAAAATACAATAGAAACACTTACTTTTGCTCAAATAACTACAAAATTAGTCAGACTGCAGAGTAGGCTCCTCGAAATAGCTGTTCCAATATTTTGTGGATATTTTCAGCGAATTTAATGTTTCAAATTTTCTCTTTTTATTCACATTCTGATTTCCGAACAGTCCAATTATTGCATCACTCTTTGGGCATGATTAATAAATTACCGCAAGAAATTTGAAGACAAATTTACCTCTTCCAGAAACTGCTTTGGAGGTTTTGTTTGCGATGTCTGTGTTGATGGGGATGCACGAAAAACTGCCAATTTCATTTTTGCACCATTCTTTTGTTTTGTCGCAAGTGTCAATGCCCAGAGCACATTCATTGATGTCTTTGGATCAACAAAGCAAAAAGAAGTTAAAAGAAACGAATGAAAAATCAGCATCAATATACAATGACAGATGAAAAATTCTACTATGTATAACAAGAGTTGATTTTGTAAAAATCCACAATATTTAAAGCTACATTTGCTGCAAAAAAATAATAATAATAATAAAAAAAAAAAAAACATTTCAGAATAGTATTTGTTGTGGGGGTTATTTACACCCTCATGATGAGACTTTGAATTTGCTCAAAATAGAATGAATTCACGCAACATATATTGAAATTTTCATAGAGCTATCACTGAAATTAGCGCTAATATGGCAATTCAATTTGTCCTTTATGGTTGCACATTTACAATTAAAGGAAAACCTGGCCGATCAATATTTTTAATACTAAGTGGATATAAGAAGAAATTACCTTCACAGCTTTTCTGGTTTGATTTTAGTTGGTACCCAGTGTTACACGAACACTCAACAGCGATTCCATTATCTGTGCACCTTTGTGCACAAGGATTGTTAGTCTTGCATCTATTAACAGAAACCAGGATAAAACATTTACGAATTTATGTGAATTCCGATAAAATCTACACCCAAGTTGAACATTGTTTTTCCCAAACTTGGTATTTAAAATTATTCTGAGTGTTATAAATAAATGACTTTTGATGGAAAAAATTGGGAGAAACTCAAGAGGCACAAATATTGTTTTTTGCAAACTTGGTATTTAAAATTTTTCCGAGTATTATAAATAAATTACTTTTGATGGGTAAAATTGGAGGAAACCCAAGAAGCACAATTCTCTGTCACTATTTTTCTCTTTTTTCAGCCAATTCTCTTTCAAATTGCTACTCTGGGAGTAATATTTTACTTTGGAAATTATGTCGAAATAAAGTAGGTAGCAGTATACGAAACTCACAGGCACCAACGCCCCTAAAAAATCGGCCATGGCGCCTAAAAATTGCCCCCTAAAAATCTGAATTTTCATAATAGGTGATTATTTGAAATTTTCAGCACTACAAGTGAAAGCTTTTTCTATTCTTCCACGATTTCATCCTTAGTGCTTTTGTCTTCCCCAGGTTACAGCTACTTACTAGTTCTGTTACGAAAACATCTTGCGTCTAACGTTTCACTAAATACGCCGTTATATATAGGCAAAAAGTCAATTTGGCCCCTAAAAAATCTTCAATGGAGCCTAAAAATCGGGCTTGATGCGCAACATGGCTCCTAAAACTTAAATGTGAGTTTTGTACACTGATAGGTAGTATGCTGCCGTGCTAAGGAAGAACGCCGTATAAACATTCGAGAGTTGCCAAATTTCCTCTGATAAAATGTTCATTTCCGAGGAAACTTATGAATATTTTCTCTTAAAAGTTTCAGGACTTTTCGGTGGAATTGCGAGCAAAATTATCTGAAAAATTGGAAGATAAATATTCATAAGTTGACCAAGAAATTCGTGTTTTATCAAGGGAAATTTGGCAACGCCTGAAGGTTCTTACGGCGTTCTTCCTTGGCATGGCAGTATGGTTCATTGTTTGCTTTCTTTCAATTCCTCATCTGCCTCTTTTCCACACGAAAAAAAAATCCTCACCTGCTCCCGATAGCATCTTGATGACAAGTTTTACCATCTCCCATGAGAGTGAATCCAGGGCGGCACTCACAACGGTACGATCCTGGGACTGGGACACAAATATGCTCACATAATTCGCCAGGCAAGAGCTCACAAATATTCTCCGTTTCTAGAAATTGGCAAAAAGAATATCTAAATTATAAAATGCACTGAACGGGGGATCATCAGAAGAATAGAATAAAACTCCCTGACTTTCCTCTATCCGAAATAACATGGACTCCCGGACTGATTCATTTAATAATTTACTAGAATGTGGAATTGAATTGTGCTTCAGTAAGTTTGAAAAATGACTTCGAAATTTTTAGTTTCCTTTTCATAGTTGGACCGCGTTAAACAGAAAGGAACCAAGCCACATCAGCTATTGCCAAATTTAATCGGCTAATTAAATTTTTTACATGAAAACAGTTGTGCGGATTTTCGTGCAAATTTCAGTGAATTTTCTCCATAGTACGAAGCAAATTCCTTAACATTTTCAAAGGGATCCGCACAAACGTTTTCTTGTAAAAAATTGATTTGCCCAGTTAAAATTGGCGATAGCTGATGTGGCTTGGTTCCTTTCTGTTAAACGCGGTCCAGTTATGACTTCCTGAAAATTTTGTTCACACAGTTCTTAGGACTTTTGAAGCTGGAGAAAGAATTTCACCTGAGATTGTACAATTTTTTTGCAGTTCCCAGATTTTTGAACATTATTGCGTAAAATTCTTTACGATACCTTCTTCCATGTTCAAGTCTGCAGACAGTCTGACTAAGACTTAAGTTACAGCACTTCAGGCCTGGATGTTGGTGACTGACAGCGAAACAACAAACCATCGAAGGAAATCTGATGGAGTTCTTCGATAGATCATCGCAAAACCTTCGGTTGCTAACTTACGTGACAGACTTGCACACCTTATATTATATTCTCTCAGACCTTTTTTGCAACAATTGCCTGCCTCTGAATTTGATCAGTCTCTGGGAATCTGAAATTTGCATACTTGTTCACTTCATTACTTCGTCATGTGGAGAGACTGTATTAGTATAGAATCTTACAATTTTGAATTAATAGACTGTTTTTCAAGGCTCATTTCTAAGAAGGAAAAAGAAAAAGAGAAAATAAATCCTAATAAAAAGCAAAACTTACGCGAGAATATGCTATTGAGTCCATTCAGAGGCTCTACATCATTGTTGTTATATGAGGTTGGTGCGAAGCTGGGTGAAAGAGGAACACTCACATTGGAGCAACATGACTCAAAGACTGATGTCCAGGGAGATCCGAAATCAAATGGTTTGCAAGACGCAGACAAGGATCCAAATATGATACCCAGTTTACAGGCTTCACAGCAATGCTAAAAAAAGCAATTATTTTAATGAGACCATAAGTAAGCAGAAGACTTGAGATTATTTAATCCAATAAAGTGACAGTTTCCATTGTTAACACATATTTCACTGCATTTATTTCGCAATCTGTCCATTTTCATGTGGACATTCTTCTTCCTATTCCTCATTCATCACAGCTATTCAAAACCAAAATAAAGGAGTACTGAAAATGTTGAAGAGCGTCAAAGAAAGAATTGTAAGGCTTTAAGAGTGCGGGAAGATGTGAATTTTCTCTTCATGGCTCTTCAAAGGCAAATGTGGAATACATAAAAGGCAGGATTGACGCTCAGCAAGGCTCCATTGCGAAAGGGGAAAAATTCAATTTTCTGAATGGTCTCGAAAAAAATTTGCAAGCTCAAAGGTAATTGAAGGATATTTAAATGCGCCCTGGCAATTTTTTTTAAATTAAAGCACATTCAATACCTGAAAATTAGCATTCTTTACTAAAAGTGTACAGATTGGCAAACAAATTAATCTTGGTTAAAATCAAAATTTTTGTAAGGCTGTTCCAAATCAGCATTTTCGTTAGGCTATTTCAAATCAAAATTTTTGATGTTTGTAGGCATCTGCCACTTATGATGCTCATGAACAATTTTTGGAATAAATATGTCGGGGAAAAAGAGACAATAATCGAATAAAAATTAAAGTTAGGGTCAAATTACCTGGAAATTACCTTAAAATTTTCCATGCCTGGTCCTTGATCATAGCATACGGCACTGCTTTTGGCTAATGTGATACCATCTTCACACTGTGCAGATCTGCAAAAAAAAGAAACAATTAGAGGATGGTATTACTAAAAAAAATTTTTGGTGTCAGATCATCAAAAAGAACATTAAAAAGATTGAGCAAATGGTAAGAATGGGTTCATTACATTAGCAGGCAAGCTTTTTTCAAACTCTTTCATTGAAATTTTTATCATAAAAATGCCAAAACGAAGGTAAAGTACAGCACAAGATAAATCAACATGAAAAAATTATTACAATTACTACTAAATTGCACTTTCTTTCAAAACATTTTTTCCGGATCAATTTTAGGCATGAAGCTCATCTATGGCAATAAAATGGACTCTATTGCAAGTACATGTTTATACTTGTTTAATGATTAAGTACGCAAGAAAATTTCATGACTGGAACAAATTATTGAGCCAGTTAAACTCTTCCTGACCTGACAGTTTGGATGCAGCATAACTCGACAGTTGAGAGGCACATACTCTGCTGTTCGGCAGGAATTTTTGGAATGGGCATTGGATAGCTTCTGCTGCATTGCATTTCTTCGTTGCCCCATGCTATTCCCAAATCACAGCATGTTCGAAACATTGAGTCCGTCCCATCTGAGGTATAGAAGCAAAAGAAGTTTTAAACAATTTTCCACCTTATTAGCGTCATTAAAATTCGAGAAAAATTAAACGTGCCTCTCTGGAGCCGAGACTTGCACAATCACAATCTGCGAGAGCATCTTTTTACTTTAGACATTCATATATTTACCTATGAATATTCATTGTAACATTCATCAGGCCTAGATAGACGGAGATCAATGATGAACTCCTAGGTGTTGAATCTGAAATTTTAAAACTTCAGCAGGATGGTAATAAGCTAAACTGTCTTTGTCGTTGAGACGAAGCCGAAATTACTGCATGTGATTCATCGGTTGTTATGCTCAATTTCTCAACTGTGCCTGTATCAGGCCAGATGATTGGACAAATTTATGCCAAAAGGAACTATGTACAAATGAATAGAGTTCTTTCAGGCATCAGAGATTTGTGATTTAAGTGATATGACAAACGTAAAATTCAGCGAGAAACACGATGGTGCCATTGGTTTTTTCTGAAAGGAACTCCCAAGTTTAAAAAAAGCGCTCTGAATCGAGACCATAATGGAGGGGGTCCCCTACACTATGCTGAGAGTTCCCCCCTACATCTAATCAAACTCTCCATGCTCAGACAGAGAGCGAATACATTTGTCACGGGACTCAACTTAGAGAGCTTTTTTGAGCTTAGGCGTTCGATTCAAAGAAAACTGAAGACACCATTATGTTTCTTGCAAAATTTTACACAAGATAGAGAAAGTAAATCACAAATACCAAACGCACGCAAGAGTTACATTAAATCATAAGCTATGCAAAAGCAAATAAACCTTATATAGGTCCCTTTGATTCAATCATTTGTACATAATTTCATTCAGCATTGATTCAGTTGATTGATCCGTGGTAAAACACTCAATCACATGATCACAAAAAAATGCTGATAGTTAGTAAAGTATCCCATCGGATAAAGAAACACAATGGAGAAATAGATCTGATCTAGTGCAAACCTCCACTTTATCTTCGTCTTATCAGGCCGTATCAACAAAGATGAAATTTCAACGATACATCTGCAGTTCAGAAACAGGCATGATAAATAATATTTAAGACTGCTCTTTAGAAATCTAGACCAAAACTCTGAGTGACATTAGGTGCCATTATGCTTCAAATTCTATAAAATAGTTAGAACCATTGAGTGGGGACTTAGCAAATACCTTACTCAGAATTGCTAATTAGAGTATATTAAGATTACCATCAGAATTAGTTACTGTGTAAACAAGATAACATACCTAAACTCGCTGCAAAGGGGAATAACACAGCAACACTGATTAAGAGGTGAGCAAACATATTGAGCACAACAAACACGGACTTGGACACTTTAGGCAGAGTCACAGAATGAGAGGGGCCCACCAAAATAAAAGGAAAATGAAAAACACAAGGTGAAAAAAAGGAAGTAAGATTGTGAAATCACTGGCTCCTGATTCATCGTGGCAGTGATTCTCAAAATGAGCATTGCAAATCAAGCCACGGACTTGAAATGCATTGTCAAAGGTCACTGCTTGGGTACCTCACAACATGTTGCTCCTGTTGCTGGTTTACAATATGTGTGCGCCCCCTCAAAAAAAAAAAAGAAAACGTAGAAAATAATTCAAATGTATTAAATTTATGCAAATTTAAATGGCAGTCTACATTAATTCAAAAACAGTAAATTAATGAACATAAAATCATCTGATAAATACTTTTAGAAGTATGTGTTAAATTTAACAATCATCCCTCCCCCTTTCCTTACTGTAAGAAAATTTGTTTGATTTCAACTTCTCCTCGAGAAAATCCTAGCTAAATTATCAAGAACGCATGGAACAAAATCAGCACTGAATTACAAAGATAATTAGTGGTTCAAAAAGATCTAAAATAAAGGCTTTAATGGGAAAAAATCCTCAACTTAAAATCCATACTTGGGGCTAACTACATATTCACTTTCAATTTTCATCCTCATATGTTTCTCTTAAAGTATTTGCAGAGTAAAACAAGTGCTTGCACAGTGAGGCATTGCTAGGAATCCTGTCTCCTCAAGATGACAATGAGTTCTAAAGAAAACGAAGTTGAGAACAGTCTGACCCTAATATATCGAAGAGTACAGACGGAATGTGATTATAGCCCTGCAAAATTACCATTTTATATTGATCTGGATCCTGTTTACAAATGCTAAGCGGGCTCTGGTAATTATATGCTAATCAGTCACGTGAAAAAATGTGCCTCGGCCAGTTGCAAGGCCAATCAAGTGAGCATTGAGTCTTGAATGGAAAGTCTTGCAAAGGAGAGTACATAAGACTACAGCATGGCACTGGGAGAATTCTTGTTGACATTATTTCAATTCCACAAATATCGTTTTAAAGAATGGAATATAATATTTTAATTAACAATTTTTTATCTACATGGAGGAGGAGGGGATTCATTAAGGAGATTTTGGACTCTTAACTTTTTTTCTTTAAATACCTCCACCCTATCCAATTAAAATCGAAGAGCATTGATTTATATATTAGGGAAATTCTTTTTTATCCTGCAACGTCTGTTTCCAAGCTCTTTAAAAAGTGATACGGCTAAATACAAAAACCATCAAGGAAACTTAGAGGAAATTCCATATTGAAGAAAGCTTGTTGCAAGTAACCTAGAACATTTAAAATATTGCATCAGCATTATTAAAATCTTCAAAGAAAAGTATTTATTGAGTAAATGAGAGCAAGTAACTTTAATTGGGGAGTGTAAATCAGCGTTCCCCGAGAAAGCTTGGAACCAGAAACAGGAAAATTATACTAGCTTCTCCTGTGCCTCTTCCAAACTTCGGAAGTATACACTGTGTGCGTGTGTTTGTGTAAGCATTTCTTAATCAAAGTTTACAGGGAAAGAAAATTAAATTTACTGTTACTTCTTAAAATGGTTCAGAGGCTCTGAGGGGGGGGGGACTTATGGTACCTGAAAGCTGGGCAGATATTTTTACCCCTCACACAACAAATTAACATAAATTCGCCTCCAATATGATTTAAAGTCATTGAATAGTTTTAGAATTTCAAAAAATACATTTAATGTTAACATGGCCACATCAAGCTACTGTCTATAAATTATAGCCGATCTGGGAGATTTTCGCAGCTTAAAGAAGCCTAAGGATGAAGAATACATGACTTATGAGAATGTATGCGGCTTTCAAGATATTTTCAAGCTCTTGATGAAACTCTTCGTAAGGATAATAGTAACATTGTGAGGCAAAAGAGAGAAGATATGAGAAAAATAGTGAGAAACTATATGATTTATTCAGCTAGACTAAAATAATATTTCACACAAAACAATGTTTTGTTGACCGGTCAAGCAACAAACTACCAAAAGGGGCACAGTTTTTTATTTTTTTTTTCACACTTATCAAGGAAAAATGGCCAAAACAGTTACAATTTATATAAAAGAAGAGACAAAGAGATTTGAAAAGTTTTACTTTGAGCCAACACTATCACAGTCTCATTTCATATTGATGTCCTCAAAATTGAAAGAAAAACAAAAAACAACATCCTCTTTGGCTCAAATAAAAAAACTTTGAATTCACTTTGTCTCTCTACTTTAAAATAAACACAGGATACCAAATTTTATTACAATAGCACGTTCGTAGAATATAGACCGTCTGAGACAGGGGGATTCAAAACAGTTCGCTAATTCCTGTAAAATTCAAATATGTGAAAAATTGTCAATATACAATTGGAATAAGCAATGGGTAATTTGCACTACTCACAAAATCGTGTTTTATGGTTCAAGATGATAGATTAGCAAAAAATTATGAATTCTGTTCAAACACAAAGTTTTGATGTCTAATGTGGACAGAGATATTGCTCATCAATAAGCAAAGCAAATAATGTCATCCATACCAGAGTTTCTTCCACCTTGGATTCATCAATTAGTGAGACACACATTAGCACTGGTTGCTAAACGTAAAATGCAGATGAAACCAAGGTGGAAAAAACCAGGCAAAAATGGCATACAGTGGTACGGTGAATGACGTTTTCGATCCTGTTCTTTATCCGTTAACATTGGACATACAAATTCGATGTTCAAACAGATCTCATTATTTCCTGTCTATCTATTAGCTTAAACCATCAAAGTATAATTCTTTAACCAGCGCAACAAGCCCATGAAAAATTCTAAAAGTACAGTTTTAAAAAATCAGAATAAAATGATTAGGCGGCTAATTAGGTATTATTGATAATATAAATACAAAATAGTTCACGCAGTAACACAGGCAATTAGTAAACCTTTAGAGCGGCATTTAAGAAATTCAGAACAGAAAAAAATTAAAACTACAAACTCTTAAAAAATGCATACTTAAAAACAATTTTTCCTTTACCTTCTACACAATAGTTAACACAATAGTGTTAAGATTTAAAAAAAAAAAACAAGGAATAGTTAAGCAAATAAACAAATCAGCTGAGAGGATCCACTCCAGAGCCAACTAAAATAATTTTTTGAATGATTGCAGTAAGGGAAAAATTGATTTAGAATACGAGACTTTCAGAGTTTAAACATTTCAATTCTTAATATTAAAAATTCTTCTTCAGTCCAAGAATTTAAAGTTGAAAGCATGTTCATAAAAGATTGCCGTTGAAATAAAATTCTCACCAGCTTTAGATTAAAGCTGTAATACAGACTGCTATGGAAATCTCTTCAAGAGTTCAAAAAACATTATCTTTGCCTAAAATTCTTCATATACTTAAATTAAAAAAATACAAGTTATAAAAAAATAGATATACTACAGGCTCAGCCTTAGAATCATATTTATCTATTCAAAACTTGTTTCCTATATTATCTCGAATTTGGACGGAAATCGAGGGAATGATTATCAACAGTTATTGTGGTTGCTTCATAATACAACAGGTTCAGGCTCAACTGATTTAAAACAAGAAAAATTGGTAAATTTTTGCATTTACGGAGAAAAATGTCATGGGTATTCCACTGAACAAGTTATTTGGCATGCATATCTTAAATAAAATACACGACGAATCAATCAATCAATAAATAAATAAATAATAATAATAATAAAAATAAAAAAGGGGAATGGAAATGTTCAATAGAAACTTACAACTATGAATAAAATTAGGAATAGAAAATTACAGGCAGTTATTTAAAGTGTCAAAAACAGTTTGCATGGAAATTTTTCTGTAAGTTTTTACTTAATCAGCGTTCGAAGTCAAAAGACAGATTTTCAAAACAGAAAAATGAGCTTGGTAAAAGAAAACGCTAGTTTTGCATGAACACTTGAGATACACAATTATCAATCAGACTTGAACAGACCTTAAGAATTCTTGTTTACATTACTTTATCCGACTTTCCCTAGTTAAAATGAGACAATCAGTCCCTAACTTTTCCAATGATTCTACATACTGTCATGCATTGAAAAAAGAGGTGATTTCTGACAGTAATCTGAAATTGATCTAAAACTCCTCCGTACCTTCAAATAGAGTAAAAAAAAAGTAACAAGAATTCACAATTTTCTAACAATTTTGTCGGAGAGTTGCAAGCTTTTGAAAGATAGAAAATGAGCAACTTATAAATTCCGGCCTTTGTCATGACATTTTTCTGTTCTTCTCCTTATTTTTTAAAGTGAACTTTTTTCCTGACTTGCAAAGCTTCTTCAGTTGGATAGACTATTTGGTACTATCATACTTGTGATAACCAATTGGCGTTTAATCATCTATTTTCAGAGGTTTGAGCTATAAATTTTAAATAGCTCCAATTTGAATGTTGAATGTTATGATGAAGATTGGATACAAGAGACAAGTTTGCACTCAAAATAACTCTTCAATGATTGGCTAAAAGCAACAAGAAGTAAAACATACATACAGTTGAGTTAGAGGATGTTTGAGCAAAAAGGGTTTTCATCTGCCCGTTTGATAACCAGGGAAAAGTGAAAGCAGGACGGTGGATAGATTTTTATTAACTTTCAACTCGTATTTGTTACCGAGATCAGCACGACAATGAGGACAGGTGTAAACACTAGCGTTGAAGGATCTTTTCAGGCAACCCTGCAACATGAGGAAAATTAATGTTAAGTTTGGCATAAAAAGCAGCAAACATAAGAAGAAGTATAATGCTAGATTAAGATCGATTGCTAGGAGCAAACTTTCAGAATGCATCTTCAAACTTGTCTATACCATTATCATGTTTACCACCCTACCGCTCAATTTGATCATTGTTACGCATCACGACTTGTTACGACCATGTGTAGCACAGAAGCTGGATGCTGAGGAAATATAACCTCAGTTTGTGCAAGCGATCCTTTCTAATTGGCTATGATTATGCAGAAAATGGTATATAATTGGCAGATTTGAGTGTAAAAGAGATAATAAGAGGTGTCAAATAAAAGGCGCATTGCGTAACTATTAGTTGTTCTACTTTGTTAAAAAAAAAAGCAGCTGTTTGAAAAACGGCAAGTTCTTCTATGTGCTCCATGGCACCAAAGAGACACATGCCCAAAAAACAATGGCAGTGGAAAAGGTAATACTTAATTCCTGAAAGTGGTTTCAACAACATTTAAAGTCTTTGTATTGTTTGGAATGTAGACTTAGTCCACATTTCTTTCCGGAACAAGATGGACTGAATATGAGATAGTTTTCGCAGTTTGAGCTTTTTTCATTTTCACATCATCTTATTTGCCTTTTAAACACATTTTGTTCGTAATGCTGTTCAAACACTCCTTGCTACGAATTTAGTACATGCACTGCCAAATCGGTGAAAGTGACTTCTTTCTTATTGGTTGTGCCGGTTTAAAATGGTCACACTGAAGTTTTGCACAGCTCATTTTTGTTGTGCTGCTGTGCAATAGAGGCACTGTGGTCTTGGCACAAAACTACTTGGTGACTAATTCTGTACATAACCAATAGAAAGCACTAACACTCTGGCGATTAGCAGAAACCACACTTTAAAGCATTCAGATTTAGCCGTTTCCCTGCATATTTTTCTAGCCCAGTAGGAATAACAGGGTGAGTACTAAACTTGGCTGGCTACACTGAAAAAAACACCCTGGCCGTGGAAGCCGTACTTACGGGCTATATAGAGATACCCGGAAAGTTCCGGGCGTAACACCCGGAGCACTTCGACTGCTCCGGGTGCTACGCCTGGAACTTTCGGCCTCTGAGCCCGGAACACGGACGGTATCTCTATAAAGCCCGTAAGTACGGCTTCCACGGCCGGAGTGTTTTTTTCAGTGTAATGATGAAACTAATGATGCAATCAATAAAATTTTAATGCTGCCCCCAAAAATTCAGTACCTCTTCAACAGAAAAAATCAGTACTTTTTCAGTACCATAATGAGCCGAAATTCGAAAACTTTTGAAAATCTAAAATTCATGCGCAAATTGCAAAAGAATGAGACTGGCACGAAATGTGAAGCTCATTTGCAGCCTTGAGATCAACTGGTTGTACAATTGCGATCTAGCAGGCAAAAGTTACAAGTTGTCTTGTAAAACACACAGGGCATGAGGCAAAAAATTCCAGACCTCTTTGCAGATTTTCGTACTTTTTCAGTGCTTACAGCTGCCCTGAAAAAAATCAGTTCCCCTCCAGACAAGTAGACACCCTTAAACAATCATCAAGTTGGTCGTTGGTGGTTTAAAAGTAAAATTAATTTTTAAAATCAATGAAAGTTACAATACTTACATGGCAAATATTATGACTGCAAGGGGTGGTAACCGGCTCATGAACGAGTTCTTGGCAGCAAATACAAACAAAGGATTCTTGCACCTGGTCCAGGAATTTCTGAAAATATAAAAGTATTTTATGTAATATTATGATAATGACAGTGACAAGGGACACAAAGAGATCAAAATCGCATTTTTTGGGTCAATCTTGGCTCATGCTATTGGTCGTTTCTGCTTCCAAGTTTCCCATTTTGAAACGTAAATATTTTCTTTTTTTCACAAAGCATATTGCTGATGATAATCAAATTATTTTGATTTATTTTGGATAGAAGATTACATAAAATATGCCTTGTTGCGGAGAATGGAAAGAGGGGAGGAGGCTGCTAAACTTGAAACTTTCATCACTCCAGATTCGTATGCCATTTCAGAAATTTCGTTTGCCAAAATGTCTATAACACACTCCTCCAAGCGTGTGTAAATCAGAATTGACAGACATAGCAAGACATAAAGCGTCACCTAGTAAACATGCTACTGAAATCATGCAACAGGTTTTTACCTGTTTCCCTTGGGAGAGAAGAGCAGTGCAAGATTCCCAAAGTTTGGTATTAAGAGAATCTGATTCAATGAGTGATTTATCTTCAGCTGGTAGTTTGTACGCAGCCACTTTGGTTTTCTTGGCAGGAGGACTCTGCGTGTCACTTAATTCCTTCAATACGCGCTTCTTTTTGGCACTCTGGGGTGTGTCCGGGCCTTCTAGGCTCTTCTTAGCTTCTAGTGCTTCCAAGTAACCATCTGGGTACTGTAATAGAAACAAACAATTTTCAATTTAATTTAACTTATAAATAAACTCTCAAGAATTCACAGTCATTACGAGTTGTATCAATTTTCAAGTGCGGTGTATGAAGTCTATTTAAGCCACTTGGATGGCAAAAAATCATTGAAGAAATTATTTTCATGTAATTCCAAAACCTGAATCATTATTAAAAATTTGACAGGTTCTGAACCAATAAAAAATACAAACTTTTCAATGCAATTTGATGGTCAACATTTTTGGAACATATTCAATTCAGGGCAAAAAAAAGTTTTTCACTTGCCAGGAGAAAATTTTACAAGGAACTAAATCAGGTTCGATCAAAACTTTAACAACAATAAAAAAAAAAAACAGACTCTAATTACTGACGATGGCATAAATCTGACCTTCATTTCTAGGTTGTGAGCTTCGATATGTTTCTTGCCCGCTTTGGTCCATGGAGCTGGAGTAGGGTCATCTCTACGGATCAGATATCGCCATACTATGAAACCAGATTTACCTTTCTCAGGGTAGTATTTAACAACTTTGTAGATTCCATCATACCTAGAAAAGAAATTTCATTTTAGCACAAAAAATGTATAAACAACGAAAAAAATAAATGTAAATGTATTAAAACGATTGCTTTCTTACCTTGTTACTCTACAAATAATTTGTCGTTCTTCTGACATGAGGGCGTATATACATGTTTGCACGTGACCGCAGAAAGCATAGAGTTATATGGAGAGCAGAGCTCACGTAGAAATAGAGGTACGTCCTAAGGTCAGAGGAGCGACGAGTTATGTAGAATGAGCATTTGTTTGGAGCAGGTCAATGCTTATCGCTACCTTCAATGTTAAGTACCTCAAGCTGTCTTGAAAACGAATGCGAGAAGACTAACATACAGTGTAATGATGACAAAGTGTTTTCTTCACGGTAGTGGATTGTTGTAGTTCATGCAAAACCAGAAACAAAAACATAATGAACTGATTAGGGCCGTACCTGTTTCCATCTTCTGGAGCATACTTTGAATGTTTCGCAGCTTTGTAGTTCCTAACGACTCGCACTGGTTTTCCACCTTTCCAATCTTTAGCGGTGGCACCTTCCTTGTCATTTAGAGGTGCATTACAGTTTAATGCAAGAGCTCTGAAAAATACGTAACGATCTTGGTTAATGAATTGGTTAATGAATGACACACACTTGAGCTAAAATGGTGGCAAACTATATTATAAGTTTAATGCAAGGAATTTCTGGTCGCCCCATACTTCTACAGTTCTTCCACCTCAAATTGCCAAAAGCGAGTGATGAGAGAGGCCAGCAAAAAAGGATCGACATGCTTTTGTCTTGAGAGGGAGACAGTAGTAGACAGTAGTAGACAGTAGTAGTAGGGGATCAGTAGTAGAGTGAAATTCAATTCCGAAAATTGTAATTGTATTTATACTGCATCATCTATCCGGCTTAAGAATAAGTCTTTTTTTTTCTCTCTAAGTAACGGCTGGGTAAAATTTTTAAAACTTTCATTGTTTGTTACCCAGTTGCAAAAAGTTTCAAAACCCCGACCGTTTGCTGCAATTCAACTACTTTGCCTCACGACCAGATGTCTGATTTTGTGGCCAAAAGCCAGATATCACGGTAAAAAGTGCAATTTTTTCGATTTTTTTCAAGAGCGAAACAACAAAGAAAAATACAACAAACACCAGACAGGTTATTATTTCTTTATATTGTCTCATGTTTACCGCTATCCTCGGAGCATGAGATCAGACATTTTCTGCACTTCTAGTTTTTGATGTGCATAAAAAAATCAAAGCTAATGATACCTAGAAAATGATTTCAGTCGCAATTTCAAAATATATCAAATTTTGGCCCACCTTAAAAAATGACTCGTCGAATAGAATCCTGCTGCCACTGGTGACGTCTCTTGCACAATTAAATTTATGGTTTTCCCCTTTTTAAAGGGAGTCACAAATATACCTGTGACAGGATGTAATTATTACGTTGTACAATGACTTTTTAACCGGAGTTTTATGACAGTACATTCACCTTTAGTGGGTTTTTTTTTCTCTCCACACCCTCAGTCACTCACAGAGATAAAATCTTACCGATTCATCCTCGTCAACTTTTGATCGGAGCTCTGATCAGCTGTGCGTTTGTTCCCTGATAAGTCTCGTCCTCCACTTCCAGTATACAAAAATTCTTCACCATCGTCAACATCATCTTCATAACCTCCACTCAACACGATACTGTAGGCACCTTCACTTTCGCGACCATGGATTCCTGCCACATGTGGTCGGTGAATACCAGCTTCAGATGCCTAACAGTTGAGAACAAAATCCTTGTCATTTTTGTGCTGATCCCAGTTGTGACTCAACAAATAGAGGCATGTAAATTAAGCGTAACTTTCCCCTGGGCCCAAGAGCCCCTTAAGTTAAAAACACTATTGACTGGGAGGCTAAAAATTTGCAAAATCAGAGAATTCTTTCAAAATCAGAGTGCCTGATTGTACATGATATCACCCTCTAAAATAGCCATTAAAGAGCTCATGCAGCTAAGAATATTACAAAAATATTAAAGGATTTGAAGTATTTGAGGAAGCTTAGCTGTGAATCAAAGATTTTCGAGAAATTTTCAAGGGCTTTCTGGAAGCAATCCAGATTCGTCACAGAAACATTATTTTTCCGAAAAAAACGAGGCAAATTGCTCTTTTAATACACACATCGACTAATTGGAAACAATGCTTTGGGGAATAGGTAAAATTCTGGAGATATTGTATCACTAAATTTTTAAAAAATGTGAGTATTTCTTAAAAGAAAGAGAGAAAAAAAACTTCAAACCATGCATACATATGTCATACCTGCAATCTAAATTTCCATATAGTGCCTACTTCAACACCAGGAACTGGGCCGAAATGATTAGAAGGAACAATAGAGCACTCTTTCATTCTGCCGACGCATGCCATTCCTTTGCCCCAGTCACGGCTTGTGTTGTTCTTTTTGGATGCCATTTTGGCTTTTTTCTTGCTATCCTTGAGTTTTTCTCCAGCTTTCACTATCTCATTTTCATCATTTTTACATTCAGCGCAGTACCTGAGAAAAAGAAATGGGTAGAATAAGATTCGATGAACTGAATGAATGATTAAACCTTAGTTCTTGAGGGCTAATTCTTCTTCAGAAAAAAGTTGCTTGACAAATCAAAATTTGAGTTTTAGATGGTGAACATTATTTTTTTTGCTAAGAAAGGATCAAACAGTTATTTTGGGGCAGATTATAAATTGAGCATTTTAAACGTGAACGCAACAGATTGAAACTTTATGCCAGGCCTTGATTCATCAGATTTCTTGGGACTGACAAATCGATCCGTTGAATCGTAAACCAATAAACTAAGATTTTACTGTAAGTTTCAACTTCAATTTTTGAACTCCAAACTTCAAATCATTAGTTCGTTTGTTGACGTATTCCAAGCCAAATTTTGTGCTGCAAAACATTTGCTGCAGTTTTGTGCTGTGTTGTTTACTATAGAACAAATAACATTTTTTTATAATTTTTCGTTTTTAAGTATTTTATTAATTTTAGTATCTCTTAAGTCTTGTTTCCTGTTGACTGCCTTAATTTACATAACTTGATGTGAAAAAAACTGGGTATTTAGAGAGACAAGAGAAAAAACTATGAATTACCATTCATCAATGTCAGGAATTGATTCTAGAGGAGGGTTCAAACACCAAATGTGGTATGGCATGTTGCATTCGTCACACATCAATTGTTGGGCTGGTTCATCTTTCTTGCCACAGACATGACATCCACATTCTTTGCAGTTCCTCCGTGGGTTGTCATTGCACCGAGTACAATAAGGCGCATTAGCTCCTAAAATCAGATTGAATTAATGTAAAAAATGAAATTATGGAGCATGAGAAGATTTTGAGAAAAACTGAATTTGGATTTTAATTGAAAAGGTTTTTCAACTGATAAAATCTAATCAACAGTGATATTTCTAGGATTAGAATGCAATACACATTACATCAAAGAACACACTTTTTATTTTTAAAACTAATAATTCAAGCCTGCAAGTTTTACTCACACATTTTTCATTTTTGTGAAAATGACTGTAACCATACAGTCTAACAGTGTTAGGCTAAGACTGTGCAGTAAAACTAGCACTGAGTGCAGGCTAAAGAAATTTTTGTGCCGTTGTTAGCAATAAGAACTTAACTTAACCAATCGACAAAATGCTTTGACTTTGGATCGAAGAAAAATTTAGTGTACTTAAAACAAGGCTCCTTAAATGAATTGAATATTAAAAATTAGAGGACTTGAGAATACTCATGCAGGCTGTGAGAAAAAAAATAAATTTAAACTTTAATAACACTTACGTGAATCTGTTGATTCATCTTGCATGCGTGATTCTTCTTCTGCAGTTCGATCTTTCATCAACTTGACTGTTTCAACCTTCATCAACTCATCCGTAAACTTAATTTTGCAATTTTCAAGACTAATATTTTCAGTGCCTACAGAGAGGGTTCCAACCAGTTCAGGATTTTTCCGTGACTTGGTGATGCTTTTCACAAGACAGTCGTACCAGTATCCTCTTTGCGTTGGTTCTTCTATGTTGTAATTGACGAGGACTCTGTCACCCACTTTGACATCATCAATGGAAACCTTTACAGACATCCTAGGCCGAATATCATTCAGTTTGATTGGAGCTGGTGGGTCGTCAGGATAACTGAAAGGAAAATCAAAATGGTATTTTTTTTAGGGCTATGAAAGAATGAAATGAAGAATTGCTTGGAAAAACGCTTACACAAATTTTATGATATTAATCTACTCTCTTTTGCTGGTTGAGTATGCACTATCACATTGCAATTACAGAGATTTAAAAATCCTAATTCTTTCAAATTGTTTACTATTTCCAGATGTTTTCTTGCTTAAATAGGATTCCCAATACTTTCTAATTTTTTTTCGGAATCTCTGCAATCTTGCACACTTGGTCAGGGACTGAAGCAAGACTACAACTAAGCTAGCATCATCCATTTAACTTAGCCAATTATTACATTTTATGTTGTTGAAATTCAAATGAGTTTATAAAAGGCTTACCATTTGAAAGCAATCATGAATTCAAGGTCGCTTTCATCCTTGATTTCATTTTCTTGCTTCTCATTTTCGTCAGATGTTTTTGTCTCTCCATCATTATCATCGGCTTCAGAAGACTTAGGTTTATCGTCTTTCGTAACTTTGATAATGTCCACGATTTGCCCTTCAAACCACGCGCCATAAATGCTATCTTTGGCATCAACATGATCACCAATCTGAAAAAAAGAGGGTTTTTTATAATTACATACATGTAGGTCGCTTTGTAGCACTCCTTTGCGCTCTTTGACACCTAACCTCTACTCTCTCTGTCGAACCACAACCCGTGGGGCATTGAGCACCTTAACATTTCTGCTTTAATCCCCTCCCTCCAATCTCTTATTGGGCGCCCTCTGCCCTCTTATCCTAAATTTTTCTATGTTTAATTTCTTTATTTAACTATACATGCCATTCATAAACATGTATCTATTAACAGGGACAAAAAAATCAGAGACATAGATTAATAAGGAAGACAAAAATGTATGTTAGAACTTATGAGCAAAAAATTAATAATTACAATTAGTAGGAAAGCAGATGTATGAAATAAAAAACGTCATTCAAAACTAAATCAGAATTAATACATTTAACCTACAGTGACTCTAACGACAACTTTCTTCACTTCCAAAAACAGACCAAGAGAAGAATAGAAAGTCATTACTAAGAGTACTTGATTGTAGGTGTACCGACTAATATACTGTGTCGTATACTGTACACAACTGTCCTCTATAAAATCCACAAGACTTCACAGCACCCTATGTTTGCTGCAGATAGTTTTAATAATCAATTGCTAGAAACAATTAGGTGATTCGTCAAGGTTTCTGACATGGTCAAAATGGCGTGCAATAAATCGTATTGATTAAATAAAAAATCTTGACAGATTTTGAACATTTAGCCCAAAATGGACAATAAACCCGCGCGTGAGCCTAAAAAACTGTCTGAACCAAAGAATTAACAAAATTTAAAGTTATGAAAGCAGAATTTTGTATGGGAAAAAACCTCGCAATTTAATACAGAAATTGATGACTGTATAGAATGTGAGGTTTTTTCCAAACAGAATTCTGCTTTCATTTCTGTGAATTGTGTCAAATTTTTGGTTTTAAATGATTCTTTAGGCTCATGTGCAGGGGCTGCTGTCCTTTACACGGCTAAGAATTCAAAATCTGCGGAGGTATTTGACACAACCAATGCAATGTATTGCACGCCAGTTTGACTAAACTGGAAATCATTATGAATCACCTTGAAGAAATTAGAGACAACAAGGCCTTTCTTTACAATGCCAAAATTCCATTAATTACCAAAAACTGCTTCACCATGGAGGAATGATGTGAGCTAACTCCTACCATAGGAATGATTATTGTTTACCAATGTTGTACCAATTTATGCTAATTAAAATAAAAATTATAACTAAATCATGGGAAATTTTTCTCTTTTCACAGCAAAATAATAGAAACTTTAACATTTATTAGACTTCTCCAAGAATTTTCTGATTATTTTTGGATAGTGATAAAATAAATTTGAAGAAATTGATCTTTTAAAGCCATCTATTGAATTTTGAGGTTCATTAAAGGGCCTGATTTTGTGATTTAATTATGCTTCATCATACTTGATCGTGACTCACCTTAAAATACTTGCTTTCCACTTTCGTTGATGTACTGGGCTTTTCTTCCTGAAAAAGATAAGAGATCACAAAACTTAATTAAAGAATTTGGGGATTGGGATACTTCGAGAATTTAGATGATGAACTTTTCTAATACCTTAATAGAGCTGAAAAAAACTTTCACACATATTGGTGGCAAAAAACTTTTTTGCACCAAACTTTCTAAATAGTTTCATTTTCAATAGTCAAATACACATCTTTCCTGCTTTCCGTTTTTCCAGCATAAAGATTTTAAACTGACAAATTCTGCTATGATCCAGAAATTTTAATTTCTCACACATGAGTTGATTCCAGGGATTTCTAATACGCTAGAAATATGTAGCCTTGAATGAGCCTTAAGACAAGGTATGAATTAAAGCACTACAAAACATATTTTCTCTTCAAAATTTCAAGGAGAATATAAATCACAGAACAGGAAGTATGGAAATCATCTCCTGGAACAATACATGAGTGTTTTTAATTAAGATTGGTTTAACGGCAAAATCATTTGTATTATCTAACTTTTATTTGATCTCTGTTAAAAATACTTGTTAGAACCTCATTTAAGTGTTGATTTCTTAACTTTCTGTTGAGTGAAATGTTTTCTTTGAAGAAAAAACATGTGATGTTAAGTCCAGTTCAGACCTTGTCAGGTGGTCCATTTTAATAAGGAAATGTAGGTTGCTATAAATTAATTGGACCGTTAAGCAGAAAGGAACCAAGCCACATCAGCTATTGCCAAATTTAACTAGGAAATTTAATTTTTTACTAGAAAACGTTTGTGTGGATTCTTACAAAAATTGTAAGGAATTTGCTTCATGCTATGCAGAAAATCAACTGAATTTTTCACAAAAATCCACACAACTGTTTTCATGTAAAAAATTAAATTGCCCAGTTAAATTTGGCAATAGCTGATGCGGCTTGGTTTCTTTCTGCTGAACGCAGTAAAATTCTTATTCTACAAAAGAGTCCAATGTAACATTGCCTAAGGAGCTCATTTAAGGAACAATAGGTACATGAAAAACACGTTGAAAGGCAGCACCTCCAGCTTAGAAACATCAGATTGGTGACGCAAATAAATCAAGCTGTAAAATTCAAGTACCTCTTCGGCAGGTTCTTTCCCGACTTCAGTTGATGTGGCCTCTGATGAAGTTGAAGTACTAGGCTCAGGAACAGCTTGGCGTACCATCAACTGAATCACATCATTCACATTCACATTGTAATCGAATAATGAGTGTTCGTCTTCCAGCTATTAAAAAAAAGTAAGTAACAAAATTGGAGAAGAATATTGCATTTTAAGATCAAAGATTCATGCTTTTTAATTGAAAATAACACGAGTAAAGGAAATATATGACATTGAGTACCACAGCTTTGAGAAAGAACGTGGTGGAGTGAAAACATTATATGAGAGCTTGTGATGCAAGGTAATACGTTTTGAGGTAGAATATTGCAGTGCAAAAATGAGCTTTGATGCTTGATTATCTTTCACAAAATAAACATACCATAAAACACATTTTACTCTGATTTACTAATGACGAAGGCTTACCAAAAATGGCGCATGGGAGTGAGAAAATTGATGCGATACAATGTACACAAGTGATTCTCCGATGAAGATTATCCTATTCACAGGAGGAGAAAAATATAAGTGCGACAGAGAAAAGGGTACTGCCAGATATGAATGAGGTCATTTTCTTTTTTCCTCTCTCTCCTATTAAACTCAGCCTGGGGTTGGGGTTAACTTTTTTGGTTACAGGTTGCCCCCGAGACTTTCCTCTTAAGACTGCAATGGATCAAGCCACTAGCAGCCGTCCAATTTCATGAAAATCCGAGATGGTCGAGGAAAATACCATGTTGATTACACGGCATGACCCTTGTAACACTCAATCATGTTGTGTGCGCCAATACTAACCACACATGCTGTGAAAAGGGAAAAACATAGTCCTCTAGAAGTAGGCTGATAGAAGGTACGAACCTGCTTTCCTCTGTAGAAGAGACGCTGCTTGTCACACGGCACATCAAAGGCCTTCTCAACTTCCTTGCGAAAGTTTTCGACAGATATGGTTTTAGAGACATTGAGAGTTATCTTCTGCTTACCATCAATAGTTCTGACTTGAACGTACATTCTGAACCGAGGTTGATAACTTCACAAGAACAGGAAGTATATAAGATACCTAAATTTTAGAGAGGACCGATGCGAAAAGGCGCTACAGAAGCATGGGCAAATCAACCTGCAAGGAGGAATAGACCTGCAGGAGAGAAAGTACTGGTGGGCAGACTGAGGAAAAAAGTGAAAAAGTAGGTTTAGCACTTCACTATCACTTTTACGACGGAATTGACAAACAAAAATAGGTACAGGCAATTAATGATGGACATTACAGATAAAGAGGAGGACTGTAAACAAAATGTGCACGAGAAAGAAATTGGCGGGAGCGGGAAAATTTCAAGGTTAGATTCCGGTCCGGTCGCATTTCCGGTTCGATGTATTCTGTCTGTCGGAATGAATGGAATGAACCGGAAACGATTAAATCGAAATAACCTCCAAACCCAAAAACCGCGCAATGCAAATAAACACCGCGACGCTTTCCAAGTGAATGTCATTGATAAATCGGTTGTTGTGAAGATTAAAAAGTCTAAGTCCATGTGATAAGCCCCAGACTCCTTCTCCAACAGATACACTCTCTTATTTTTCACACATCAGTTCCTGCAAGCTTCAAGTGCTGTTCCATCATGTCTTCGTTACGCTTGAGCATCATCGTCGCAATGACTGCAGATAATGGAATAGGTTTCAAAAATTCTTTACCCTGGTCTCTACCGTGAGTTTTTTCTTTCTCTCTCATGCTGATGCATGCAGAATCTTAGAAATTACATGATCTAGCTTTTTAAATTGTATCAAATTGTTGCACCCTTCCAGAAGCGCTGATTATGACACAGGAAGACAATGCATCCATACGTAATCGTAAAGTTGAGGGGGGTCCTACCAAAATGACCACTTAATTCCCAGGATGAGATCTTCAACTCATCTGTTTCCCTCTGGAAATATGAATGAAATGAACAGACTTTCTTGTTAGTTAGTGCGAGTCTTAATTAGTGATTATTCAGAGGGAAGTCTAGGCTGTTTTTTTCTCCATGATCATTGGCAGAAGATAGATTGCCGCCATTTCTTTTCACAGGGTGCATAAGTACTTGCTAGAGAACTTCAGACAGCTAGAACCCTGCCTGTAAGCTGATGAGAAAGGGTGTTGCTGCAGTAATGCAACAATCACCATGCCGGATCTAGCGACTCTGTGCCTATCATGAACCAAGTTCTATTTGTATAGAAATATTGAGTTTGAGCAAAATACTACTTAACATTGCATTATTTTGCAATGTTGCAAACCCAGCACCTCAGAAAAGTATTAAGGTGTCATTTCAGGTGGGTAAATCTTATGAAGGCTAGAAATGAAGAGGAGATCAACTTTCAAAATTGATGAGCTCTAACCAAGTTCGCAGGAATATTGGTTGTTTTTTCTGTGCAGCTAGAGGCAAAAGCCCTCTCATGTTTTCCATGGGTCAAGCTCCTGGATTGTAAAATTAATGAATGCACTTTATCCCTATGTACCTGTTTGACAATATGTATGCACTGTCCCATATGCCTATGTTTTCAATTTGCTGAGCATTTTTTTCATGTATGTGTCACTTCACTTTTACAGAAATGAGCTCCGCAACTTTGCCAAATTAACAAAGAATTGCAAAGATAAGAGCAAACAGAATGCTGTTGTCATGGGTCGGAACACATGGGAATCAATTCCAGCCCAGCATCGTCCTCTTAAAGATCGTTTGAATGTGGTGCTGTCTAGTACTCTGAAGTAAGTAGACCAATTACCTGCAAATTCTGGATAGTTTTATGGTCTCTTAATGGCAAATCAGATGGGTGAAAAAAAGTCCACTCCCCCCCCCCCCCCNCCCCCCCCCCCCCCCCCCCCCCAACGACTTGCCAATATTCAACTGAATCATTTTATTAACTGAGCCAAGTATAGAACCCAGGGGCACCAATTAATGAAGAATTTTATACTTTCTTAAAGAACTTCTGCACTTTTTACAAACGCACTTAATCTTTGTCTGGAGGTCAACCCAGCACACCGAAAAAATTCTGTCTTCACTTGCGTTCTTCTTAGAGACTTGTAAAATTTTTTTGGAACTCTCAAAGTCTAGTTAGTGTCAAAGTTAGTCTCTTAGTCTCAAAGTCGTCAGCCATCATATCCCATAAGAGAGAATAGAGAAACTTTTAAATATCTTAACAAGAATAAGTTGTGCTATCATCAATGGGTTTGCTGAAAATGTTATTGATAATGATGTACATAAGTCAACTTTTAGAGGACAAAGAATTACCGAGCTCTGTTAGAAACTCATTTTTTTCTTTCTTTTTTCCCTTGCCACTCGTAGAGATGCAGGAGAGGGTGTCCTAGTCTGTCCTCGGCTGAAGGATGCATTAACACTATTGGAAGAAAATTATCAAAACAAGATTGAAAATGTTTGGATCATTGGCGGTGCTCGTGTGTATGAGGTAAGCACTGGACTGGAATAGTTTGAAATTAAGGGTGCACAAGTTGGGGCATTCTGAATGCTTTCTTCATGAACTAGCGTAATTCCCTCATTATTTCTGCTGAAATTCCTCATTTTCTTCAAATTTCCGAGGTTTCCATAGAGAGGTCATCACTTTCAGAACTGTTTTTTCATCATATCAGATGAAAATTGGTACCTGAGATAACTTTGGGGACTCTACCAATTTTTTATTTGAAAAATTAGAAAATCACATTTCCTCCTCTACGGAAGGTTTCAGGAGGCATAATTTTCTTGCAGAAATTAATTTTGGCAATCTGAGGCTTCAACACCCCCTTAAAACTTCTTACAAAATCCATTTTGAATTTGTTTATGAATAAAAATAAGATTATAGTCTATAAAATTTTCATTGGACACTAATTTGTTATGTAATATTGTCAATCAATGTTGTCATAGTTGGAGCAACATTTTTTTTTTTTTTCAAACCTTTGGGGGAAAGAAAAGGATTCCAATGAATTTTAAACTCTGCAGAGTCGTTTTGAATTCAGAATTGCCTCCTAAAATTATTATCTTTAATTCTGAATTGACCAAAAATTGTATTGTAAAACTACATTGCCACCTATCAGCATGTATCTACTTTGAGTGAATTTTAACATCGTGACTCTCAGTTGTAAATCGGACTTAGTGTGATTTTTAGTCAAGACATCTTAATTATGCATTCATGCTATTTTTATGCCCTTCTTTGATTTGAAGAATCTCATCTCTGTTACAGGATGCATTGAATCTAAGTAATTGCCACAAGTTACATGTTACACACATTCAAGAGAAACCTGAATGTGACGTATTCTTCCCAACCATTCCAAGAGATTTTCAAATCATAACGTAAGTGTTTGTGTTTTTAAGTAGGACTAAGAACTAGTAATTTAAATTCTTCTGGATATTTAAAAGTCAGGAAAAATTATTATTTTCCTCAAGACTGTTCTACGTGTCTGGCTCAATAGATCAGAGTCCCGCTTATCTTAAATTCGTCAATTCCTCAAGGCTAAAGATGATAATGTTGAGAACTTCTCAACTCTTTAAACAAGCATTGTAAAGCTGGAATGTAAGTATAGGCAAGGACCACGTTTTTATTCCGGAGAAGTAGTTAGCTCTCTGTAGAGCACTTCCATGAAGGGGCGTCTTGAAACCTGCGTGGTGCATGGTAGAAGGTTTTGAAAGTTTTGAGTTTTTAAACGATTAAATTTACATTCTAAAAAAATATTAATCATTAAGATTTAACTCATGTAGTAATGACAACCAGGGAGTTTAGTTGCTTGATGTGCTTGCTTTGAATCATATCCTACTTAAAAATATTTTCAACTTATTTTTAAGAACAGTATTGTTAGAACTCTCGTCAGATAAGTTGGCAGCTCTGATTAGTTCCATATTTGTGGTAGACGTAGCAAAGGAATAATCAATACATTTGCGTATGGCAAGTTTGCTGCGCCCAGACAATGCTCAATTGTTATTTGATGGCAGCGGTGCAGCCATTGCAGGGTGTCGAGCAACCGGGAATTGTCTGGGAAATCAGAGAAAACCTCAGGGAATCTTCAAAAATTTGGCATGTCAAGGAATTTTATTTTGCAAGCAATTTTCTTGTCAGGGAAACCAAAAACACGAATTTCCTGGAAAGTGTTTCGTAAATTTTACTCTTACAGAAATTGCTACCAAAATTTTTGCCAGAATTTCTGCTGATGTCTTTTAAATTTTATAAATGATGCAAAAATATCTCACATAAATTTAGGCACCATATCTTTTGCTTTTTTCTTAAACATTATATTCCTAAAACATGAAAAAATTCTTACATCTAATCAGTTCAAACGTGTTGAAAAATGGGGAATTTTTCCTTTTTGAATTTTTTCCGTCTGTCAGGGAATTATGAATTTTTCCCTGGTTTTTTGGCCGTTTTTGTCAGGGAAATCAGGGAAATGTCAGGGAATTTTTGTTTTGAAAATTGCTAGACACCATGCATTGACAAACAAAAAGTAAATAACTTCTTATTCATTTGACAAGAATTCTAAATTTCTTTCTTCATTTTCTAATTTTGTGCGTAACATTGTGTTTTAATTTTTTTAGCACGAGTGAGATGGTTGAAGAAAATGGTTTCCACTACAATTACCAAGTGTACGAAAGAAGAACCTCTCCAGACGGTGAGGCAAACGGGATAGAGGATAGCACTAAATCATGATGCTCTGTTTAAAGTAAAGTTTTTCACCGAAACGCACAGTTCATTCCTTAATAGAATTAATAGTTGTTCACCAAAGAATCTCAAATTGAAGAATGTTTATGTTATCAAGATTGTAATCATTGTTTCAAATTTAAGCTAAACCTGTAGGAGCCATTTTAATTTCTCTAATTCTATATTCATCCCAAGTTATGAAATATTAAGTTTTAATTACCAAATAGCTCCAAATTAGAGAGAGTAAGTGCAGACTGAAAGTTTTTCAGTTCGCTTGTCATGAAGAAGAAAAACTACACCTGGCAGGAAATTTTTGGGAGGCAACTTTAAGTTCTAAAGAGCAAGCCTTAGATTAAAGCAGAAAATTTTAAACTCTGATTGCAATTTATTTTACGTGTAAAAAAATACCATTATGAAACATTCCTTGATTCCAGTTTGAAATTCTCTTTTACTTTAGGTATTAAGACAAACAAACCATTCCTACCCTCCACAATCAAAGCCCTGTTGTTGAGAACCAGCAACTATTTTGGCTCAAGTACTTTTGCAAGATTTGCTGAACTTTCATTTAATGACTTTTCTCATGGTGGTATTAATAGTTATTCCTAAATCAGCTCCGTTTCTAATGTTAAAAAATTGTAATTCAAAATTGGGTGGAATGAAATTCTTTTATAAACCCCTTGGCATTCTTCTTTGGTCTTTAAATGAGTTTGAAAAACTTGATTTTATGATATTATAAAAAAGGATTGTGGAAGGAATATTAAGGGGAGTTTTGCTTCAGTTCAAACTGCCTTACTTTCAAAGAGAAACCAGGAAACAATTTTCCATCACCTATTTATTTTCTTTCAATTTTTTTTATTCATGATCTGCTGTATAGAAAGTTGTAATTTTCAGCCTCCAAATTGAAGGATACTTAATTTTAAGCAATGAAAAGCATAAAAATTCTCTCCTCTCAACCCTCTGTCCCCCAACCCTCTATTTTGATACTCTTTCGCGAAAATCATTGTAATCTGTATCATAGTAAGCTCATCGCTAAATTATTATGCTGTTTCATTTGAATTTTTGAATATGTTACCATGTCTTGATTTTAAAATTTAAATTTCATTATGATTTTTTTTTCTTCCTTTTTTAAAAAAAAAAAATGAACAAAATGTAAAAAGTATCACATTTAAGAATTCCAATAAATATTTTACAAATTTTTAAATAATCTTTGGTCTTTGAATAATTATTACAAACAGCAAATAACATCCAAAAATTAAGGCGGTAGTATTGCTAAATAATCGTTATTTTCTTACGGATGGCCTTGATCAGGTAGGTCTTTGCCTCTATCTTTTTGATTTCAATTTGGTAAAGGCCAGGAAAAGTTAGAGAACTTCACGAGTATTAAGTGTATCGGCGTGGTAATTTTAGCCGATGCCATTTGATAGAGCGCCAAGCTTCTAAGCACCTCCTTTCTTAATTTTAATCTCTAGCAATGAAACTGTTTTAAGTTTAGCAGCAGTCAGCGTGCTAAGTACAAAAAAAAATTTGCTTGAAATTCTGTTCAAAAGGTCAGACTAAGTCAAGAAAGTTGCCATTTTGGGGTCAGGAAAATTAAAAATGAAGATCCATATTATGGAAACTCTGATTATTGACGGAATTACACTTCCGAAACAACCTGAATAACATTTTACATATTGTTCAAATTTTAATATTCCTGTTATACAGGGGAAAGGAACAGATTCGGATCAATCTACGTATAATTTGTTGATCTAGTATATTTAACAATCAAAACGTAAGTCTGCGACTAGCCCAACTAAACCCATTGTTTACAAAACTTAGATGGAAAAAAAAAATTTAAAAATAATGAAACAACATTTTACTAAGCATTGATAGGTAGTTGAACAACTGTTTAGGTACAAAAAAAATTAAGAGAGACTAAAAGCATCTTACAGGGGTGTGTTTCATCTCATTGGCTGAAACTTCAAAATCGACTGTCCGCACTATCTAGAGAATCGGAGGAAAAACGCATGTCTTGACTCAGTAGAATCTAAAAGCATGTACCGATCATAGAAATTCAATATGTAATCTTCAATTTTAAAACCAAATTTTTGGTAGAGAAAAATGGCTTCGTTGTCGGCTGATACATGTAGGGTTATGTCCTTGCCCATACAACTCTGAAAATAAATGCAAGAATTCAATTTAATAATGTTTTTTGCACAGATAACATCACATAAAGGCTTAATCTCTTAAGGACAAATTCATTATTTTCCATAATTGACCATACTTACAAAGCCTTGAAAAGAATCTTTCCAAATATGTAGTTGACTGTCCATCAGAAAAGTAATATCTGTGCTGAAAAGCACGATCTTAGGTTACTTGTCCCATTGGATTTTTCCCCGAAGATTTTGGCACAAAAAACAAATGACGATGTCCAAACTTTCTGGAGTAGTGTGGTCTAGAGTTCGCAATGAAAAACTGAAGTTCTGAGATAAATTCTTCATCGGCCATGTTTTGGGTTAAAAAATGTTTAATTAAAATACAATTTTTGGCCTCTTCTAATTAAAAGAAAAAGGAATAGAGACTGAATCGTTGTGAACTTTATTTTTTAGAAATTTTGGAAGGCATTCCCTATTGGAAACTCAAACCAAATTTTTGGCTGAGAGTACAAAACTAAAATTAACACTTTTTGAAAAAGTTGGTTCCCACAACGTAGATCCTCTTTTAATCAAATTTAGCAAAAGGCATAATTCGACCATTATTTTATTGAAATAATATTTGAAAAGCCTCCTCTAATGAAATAAGTGATCAACAAATGGATCTGATTACAAATTATTCCGGAATATAAGAAAGCACCAACCTGAATTAAATGATAGATGATAAATGTGGCTATACCGCATTTGCGCCAATAGGGCCGGACAAAAAGATAAGTAATATACGCTTCATTGACATCCAGATTGGGTATCATGACTCCAAATCCTATTATTAATTTTTTGTAGGTTGCTACACATGTAAAATCAGGATAATGTAGACACTCGAGCACTGAAATGATATAGATCAAGTTTGAGATTAAGTGAGGTAAAAATACGTGCACACACAAAATTATTGACAGGAAAAATAGCTACAGCACGACGTAAATCCTCAACAGACATGTAAAGATAGGAATTTGCTGTGCAAAAATACTAGATTTGCCTTTACTTTAGACAGGGTGAAAAATTAAGTCCAACAGCGCATTTTTGATGAGCAAAATTTCATACATATCACATTAGCAGTTCACGTTATTTGCAGCTGTTTACTTTCTGCTTGCAAGCAATTTTACTGCCGCAATCAAATAGACATCTAAAGTTGATCAAGTGTGACAGTTTTGCAATACACAGATCATCATAGGAGAATAACTTATCAGACAGGAGCTTTAATTGATTTTTTTGAGAAGAGTATTCGTATCAATATTCTCTTACACCTTTGTTCTATTCATTGCAAAAATAAATCAAGTGCTAGCTTTATTGGGGAACTAAGTGATCACCATTAAATATCCTGAAAAACCATATGAGGTTACACTGTTTGCATTAGTGTTTAAATTGAATTAACTACGCTGATTCTAGTGAGGATTTGATACATTTTGCAACAGACTTGAAGATTTAAACCTGAAACAAGGTATATTGTAAAAGAACGCAAGTATTGTAAAGTATCAGAAATGCAAATAAAGTAAACTTACACTGAATTCCGGGCCAGAAAAATCGACAAGACAGAGAATTTAACGCTAGTAGAAAATGGGGGCTGACATAACTATAGTCTATTGATGTATCTGAAGATTCAAAACTCAAGTTCTCTTGCGAAGACCCGTCCGCTGATTTAAGTTTCTTCAAGAACACAGCATGCCTAATTTCTTCCATTAATTTCAGCCACACTGGTTTCATGCTGTTGTCCCTGAATATCAGCGGTTTCAAAACCCTGAAAACAAAATGTTGAGTTCAGTAAATAAAAGTGCACCATAAGCGTGGAGAGGGAATTTTATTTTCACATGATTGTAAAGTCATCTCCTTATAATGTGAATTTTCAAAATCATGGGCCGTTAAGTTGGCTGATGCGCATTATTATGAAGTTGAATCCCTATAATCAATAATAAGAACGCAGCTTTTTAAGATCAAGTTGACACTACTTTGAAAAATTTTCTTCATTTTGCTTTTGACTACTGCAAGTAATTATTTCACGTGGATTGACACCAACCATATTCAGCTTTAGAGAATAGAATCATGTTCTGTGCAAAAGTTTCCTGATTGAAACAAGAAGGAGCGTTTTTTTAATTAAGAATTTAATATTGTGCAAGTTTTGAAGTCATCTAATGTGAGTTAACACTCATAAAAACCATACCGAAGAGGAAAGAGAAAGCCTTTTAAATAAAATACTGCCTTCTATAACAAAACGCCAGATATTGAGCAGAAAGAACTTGCAACTTTTTTAAATTACAACGTTTAAACTTTTGTTGAAGGAATTGGACAAGTTGAAGTCTAGAAAAAAGCAAAATATGAAAGATCTTATTGGACACTAACTCATACTAACAAGGAAAGGAAAAATTTGGCACAAATATTCACTGAAATACACGAGTCTCATAGAATAAAGTCCTCAGAAAGAGAGATGAAACAGGTTTGTAATTTCATCAATGTTAGGTGATAAAATAACTGAATAGCTAATTTGAAAAAGAAGACCCATGCAGTTGACTTCATAATGGTCGTGTGACTTGCGATGTGTTCCCATCTTATTCAAAAAGGGATCGCCCTTACAATTCTTTTTTCAAGAATTTTCTGTTTTACATAGAGATTTTCCAAATTGTTTGTGCAGCGTTCAATCAATTTTTTTAGTTATGCAAGAGCAGCAAGAGCCCAAAATTCCATCAGTGCCAGATGAATAGAACACAAGTTTATTTTCAAGTTGGCCACCAGGATTTTTAGTGAACAGGGTTGAAAGAAACCCCACAGAAATGAGGAGAGGAAAAAAATGTCTGGTTACATATCAGGTTTTCTGATGATTTCTGAGGTAAATTCGTTGAAAAATGCTAGCATCTCACATCAAAAAGTGTAAGTTTACCTGGACGTGTAAGGACTCGAGTATGTTTTCCATTGGGTTCCATCTTTAAACCAGTTTGGATGGGACTCATCCGTGTGCACTGTTTCAAAATGTCTGAGGGCGTCTTGCTGCAAAGAAGTAAAAAAATGCTCTTGTCAGTAACAGATTCAATGATGGGTCACTAGACAAGTTATGAATTGAAGCACCTTGTTATTTTGGTGGCCAAAGTGTGAAAGTGTCAAAATTTTTACTACAATTTCATTTTTTTGAAGAGAAACAAGCCAACTCTATACCTTAAAATGTATACAGAATATTCTGCTGATAGAGAAGAGAAATCAAGGAAATTTTTGAGAAATTACATTGACTAGTTTTTGTAGAGGAAAATAAAGTGTGGTAAGAAGTCTACACCATTGCATATGAGGCTACGCAATTTTTCACTTTAACCATTTTACGTTGAAAGTAATTCTTGCGTTGGGAAGTTTCAAAACCAATTCTTCAGCAGGGTGTCAACATGAACTTATGAACACTGATCAAATGGAATGCAAATTATGCAAATAACGTAAATAGTATTTTCGACATTTACGTAATGCTTATTACTTATAAATACGCATATCTTCTTAAGGGAGGATTTTCGAACTTCTCATTATGTGAATCATATTTTATGTAAAATTTTGAGGAGATTCTTTGTAACAGAGGGTTTTAGTTCATACCTTGTCTAGTGCCTTATTGAGAGAAGATCAACAGAAAACATTTTTTAAATAAATTATGCTCCCAGAACCGGCCTCCCACCTCAAGCAAGTCAAAACTTGAGGTTGTGGATTGTGAGATATGAGTGTGTGGGAAAATGATGCTATGAGCCACTTCAGTGCGTTGGTACTGGACGACATTCTGAGATTTCTAATTGAAACTTGGGTTCAAATTCAATCTAATTTTCTAACCAAAAAACTGATACTTGGCAATACCAAGTTATGAAGAGCACTACCTAATTTCTTGAAAATGTTGTGCACTGAAAATATAAATTATGGAACATTCACATGGAATTTCAAAGGGCAAAAATAGAACCTCATTAATTTATTTTTAAACATATAATATAATTTTGTATGTTTATGGGTTAATTGGCTTAACTGAAAATATTTTGGAGAGATGAATGATTTTATAAAATGGGAAAACTTAATATAAATTCCTTTACCTGGGTTTTTTTCCGCATTTCTTCGACTAAGTCATCACTGATTGGGTCCGAAGAGGATAACATGCTGACGTCATTCATCCGCCTAAATCTTCGTAGGTCTAAGATGCGAAAAAGTTTCCGCAGAACCTTGTACTTATCTGCTTTGGGAATGATGCGAGTAACTTTGTAAATCCGTTTAAGTAATTCATGTTCTTCCTCTTCTGAGAAATTGCACAACCTAAAAGAAGTTTGTTGGTTGAAAAAAGACCATTTATACTACACACATATACTCAAATATACTATAGAAATATACTCAAAAGCAAAAATATTGATGAGATATGGTTTTTACATCATCCGAGAGAGGGAAAAATCATATGTCAAAGAGGGATACTGACATACTATGATTGTAAATGAATGCTGCTATGATGGGAAGCCGATCTCACAGCGCTCTTTGACGCTCTGCAGCGTTTAACCACCACAAGCCCCTCAGAGCATTGACATTATTTCATTTCATAAAAAAACGTTGCCATCTTTTCACTTTATGTTCACTGTCACAAGCGTATCCTAAGTATCTTTTTAAGAGGAACCCCATCAAGCATTCTTATGGAGCAGTAGACATTACTTTAGAAAAACGACTGCACCAGATCCCTGTTTTAAAGCAGATACCACAGTGCCCTCCACTTTACAAACCACTGCATTAAAAAATTTACATTAAAAAACTACGGTCCATTTTTCTTGTGGATAGTCACACATCGAGGAAATTTAACTGGTCAGATATAGATGATTAAGTGCAGTTTCTTGAACATTTAAGGCTTTTTATTTTATGAAACTCTCCAAGCTTCTTCTTGACAATAAAGCAACGATCTTGCAGTACAATGACACTTCACTAAAACTACATTTGTATAATTCTTGTTTTCTCGTAATCAACAAATGGGATGGATCATCCACTGACGGCAGATTTTGTCCAGAATGATCAAGATATAGTATTGCACAATAATTTATTGACGTAAGAGGAAAAAAGAGAGCCAGAAAGAGTATAGGGCATTCAGGACAAGATATCAACTTACGAAGGGAATTCTTCATCAATACTATTGAGAAGAGTTTCTAGATTCGAAATTTTTGCTCTCCGTGTCCGAACAGGTTTTCTCACTTGCGCTAGTAAGGCAGGAATCTCTGATTCCGTTAATCTTTCGGAGAAGTTGGAGTAAGTGAAGGAATTGCTAGCCTGAACGAACAAAAATTACAGTATTATTATAGGTTAATATTTCAGTAACAAAATGAAATGAGGGTGAATTCGAGCATGATAATGGACGAGAGAGAGTATGACACACATACAATTTGCTCATGAGCAACAAATAAGTGAACAACTATTTATTTTCAACGTTTGAATAGATTTCATTTTCAACTTCAGCTATACTTGAAGCTTATTGAATTGAGGAGTTTCTAAAACCGTACATAATTACCTACATCAATTTTTGATGTCAAGAGAAAAAAATTTTTCATTCAAAATTTTAAGTAGAGTAGAGAAATTGAATGATAAATAATGAATTTTGATTATTTTAAGTCCTTGATGGAGTTAGGTTCTTTGCTGAGGGGATTTTTCAGTTCCTTTTTACGGAGACGTAAACCTCAATCCTCCATAAATTGTTCTCTTAGAACGAAAAACAACAGCAAAAACCTTAGGAGCGTAAAAAAATTGAGCTGAATTTTTTGCTTATTTTAAAGTTAAAATTATCACGATACAATCACTTATGACTAACGTAAACTTCTAAATGAATGATACAAAAAAGGTGGAGAAGAAAAATATTACTTGGCCAGTGTTTCCTGCTTCAATAGGTAAACTTTCAGATGTTGGAATATTGAAAGATTCGGATGGGTCTTCTCTATAGTAATTCCCTCCATTTTGTAAAAGTCTGGAATGAGATGAAAAACTACTCATTAACAAGTGGAAAAGTATCATGGAAATGAATGAGGCTTGAAATAAAACTAGGTGTGATCGGAGACTGAACAATTTATGCAATCAAAGTCTTCAAAATCAGAAACAATGCGACAAAGTAATTGCAGAATACATACTCTTACATCATCATTATCTAAAATTTTTGCTAAGTCATTGATTATTTATTATTTTTTCCATAAAAAAGTAATACAAATCCGGCCTAGATACATGAAATTCCTTTTTTATCACATAAATACAATAACTATGTTGACATACCACTGATGCGCAAATTTGCTGAACGCTGTCTTCAGAGTGTAAGTGCAGGTTTTTAACACAAAACAAAAACCATTACAAATATTGTCACACTTCACTTTCTCGATGGAAAGTAGTGGCGTGGCGTGCTTTGCGATATATCAATTGATATCATTTAAACCTACGGAAAATGATCGATAACAGAGTGTTCGCAACGCACACCTTAATAATCAATTCTTTATCATAGCTTCAAATGGGAAAATATCGATAATCGATCATTCATGCTTCGCCGCTGATGGAAAGCTAGTCTTAACATAATTTGTTAAAAGTTTTACTGATTTTTCTTCCGAACGCAAAATATTCTGTATGAATTTCAAGCTATAAAGTTGGCTTGTTTCTCTTTGAAAAATAAAATAGAATCAGAAGTTCTGATACATCACAACGGAGATAACACACTTAGCACACACTTTAGTATCAATTTGTTTCAGCAGGGAAACTTTAAAAAACCCTCTCAAGAGACATGAGCTAGATGAGAATTAATGCTAAGCATGCGTATTTAATCTGAAAAATAGATATGTTACCTTGCATTAATAGGAACTAAGTATTGGCGGCAGTAGTGATGATCATACAATTTTTCATGCGGTGGATTAGGGATTAATGTCATAGCTACTGTTCCTTCTACAACCTGGTCGTCAGAGTCAAAACCATTTGTTTCGGGAACATCATCTTTGTTATTGGTTATTGGTGTTTTCTTAGAGGTCCTTTTCGGAGTCTATCAATGGAAAAAAAGATCACATAGAAGTAATTAACGGTAAATTTTGTTATATCCATGAAAACTCATACTTACAAAATATGAAAAGCAGGAAAAAAAAATCATTAAAAACTTAGCCCGAATACTGTAAATAACAGGGTGGTAGAAAGTACTGGACTGAGTCCACACTTTTCTACAGGGGAATTTTGGCCAATTTTTGCAATAATGGTAATTTTTGGCCTTGATTTCCCTCCAGAATAGTGTGGACCCAGCACTTTCTACCATTCTGCTACTTTGATAACTGCAGTATCAACATAAAACTACAAAACTAAATTGTCTCAATGGGCCTGTTGCAAACTTTTGCTAGAGCAAAACTAAGAGTTGTTTCTTATAGGTAATGCCTCAAAAATCACGATGAGCGCATCGGCAAACTCTGAAATGCACTCATAACTTCACAAACTGCGTAAGAAATTTGCGGTTTTTTGAGCTTCCCGCTTCAAAAACGATACTACGGCACAGGTGAACATTTTGTAAGAGGAGTCGTTCCATTGTCGGCAATAATCATCATAGCCGACGCCAATCCGCCAAAACACGTTTGATGGGACGAGATAACACCTGAACTGGATTAGACCAGATAACAATCGGTGTGTTAACGTTCATATTTTCCACGCCCGAATTGATTGACCTTGAACTCTCCTTGAATTACGCGTGGAACTGCGTGCAAGCGTCGGCCATGATGAATATCGCCGACGATGGAGCGACTCCTCTAACAAAATGTTCACCTATGCCGTAGTATCGTTTTTGAAGCGGGAAGCTTAAAAAAACGCAAATTTCTTACGCAGATTGTGAAGTTATGAGTGCATTTCAGACTTTGCCGATGCGCTCATCGTGATTTTTGAGGCATTATCTATAAGAAACAACTCTTATTTTTGCTCTAGGAAAAGTTTGCAACAGGCCCATTGAAAGAGAATCTTTTTATGCTCTCTCCAAGACAGAATAAGGGCAACAGCACTGAAGTGCAAAATTGTTCTGAGTAAAGGCATTTTTCTGCAACTCACTGTGTCTTTGGAAAAAATTCAACCTAACGACTTGATTAGGAGAGCTAAGTCCACTGTCCAAGAATAGAAAAGAGAGGGGGGGAAATAAACTTTATCAGTCGCCACATTTTGGTCTCAACCACACCGGTGACAATAATTAGCACCCCTGCAATTGTAATAATTAGTGATTAGAAGGATGACTTCTGAGGAAGTGGAGATAACTTACAGATTTAACCTTTGATGCTGTTTTACGCCTGACCTTCTTTTCACCATCTTCAAATGGGGGCTCCAGTAGTTCAGGTGCCTTTTTCTTCTCACCTGAGTGCAGAAAAAATTAACAATTTACATACTTACATTTTCTTCTTCCCCCC